CGTGACTGCGGCGGACGGAGAGAGGCGTCGGGTTCGAACGCGATGCGAAAAAACCGAATGCTTCGAGGGAGCGCGGCGAGTCGTTCGCCTCGCGGCTGCGGACCGCCGCCCGGCCATTCATTCGCCGGCACGAATTCGAATCTTTCGATGGACCGAACGGATCGATGCGCGGTTATGGACCGACGCAACATCGGTATTTCGCACCGGCGTCCGCGTTCCCGCCGGGTAGCTACCGTTCGACTAATCCGCGGAACGTAATCCTCTCGTCGAGATATCATCGTTATCGTTGTTACAGGGAATAATCGCGTTGCACGCCGCGACGCGATCGAACCGGCCGCAAACAGCCGCGCGGACGAGGAGGAGGATAGAGATCGGAAAGGGTTGGATGTTCGCCGTGACACACGCATTCCTCGGACGCCGTAACTCGCGCAGCATCCTCCGTACACCCCGAAGCCGCATACCTCCGCCGCGCGTTACTTGGTCGGCTAGTTAGCGTCGTTTCGCGATGCAAAGATAAGAAACGAGCCAACCGGCAACCGTGCGCCGACAGAGAGAAAGAGAAAGAAGCAGAAAGAAACCAAGGAAACTGTTCCACGCGTGTTCGTCTTAATTCTGCATTCGCCGGGTGTTCACGGAGAACGCCTGCTGCCGACGGCTGGCTGGCCGGATCGCCTCGAGCGTACGAAAGAAGCCGAACGATAATACAGATAATAACCATAACGACAACGATTTCGCGTCCGTCGCGAGAAGCTGGGGAATAAGAGAAAGGCAACGACCGACGGGAGAGGCGAGGCTAATCGACGGTTGGCAAAGATCGCTGCGAACAGCGCGGAATGCGTCTGACACGCGTCACGTGCACCGCGCCGTGACAAGTTCGCTGCTCCCTTCCATCGATTTCCTCCCCGGAGATGCTCGTCGATCGTATCAACGTCCGCTCCGCATCTCGACAAGAGAAACAAAACCACCCGCGAAAATACACGCGAAAATGACGCCGTATTTCGGCGTCAGACGGAGATAACGGCGAGAACTGCCCATGAAAATCAAATTACCCTCCACCGAACCGACGAACCGTCGCTTTTCGCTTCCGCTCCCCAAAATGGTTTCGCGGAAGCCTCGACAGAATCTTCGTTCCCAGTAGCCCGCAAACTACCGGCCGAAATCGGTTTCGCACGCAGAAAGGAGAAAAAGGGGTGAGCCAGGGTGTAAAGCGCCGCGCGATCCCGAGGGAACCGCCGATGCCCGGATTCGTCGACTCTCGGCCAACCATGGGAACGACGAGATCGGATCCTCGAGGACTATGGGAACCATGGGAACCGAAACCATTCAAGTTCCAGAAGGCGCGCGGCGCGGCGTAGCATCGTCGAAACCGTCTCGCAAAATTCACGCGTCCTTCCGCTCGCTCGCGGAGTCTAGAAGACTGACCGCGGAATGCGCGTCCTGCCGGAGGAAACCGGATAGTCCTGACGAAAAAATTCCCGATCGCTTCCTACCGTTTTCGACGTCCACAACTTCCGACTCTTCGAAAAGCACCGCTCACGCGGAAACTCGCGCCAATTTCCCAGACTTCGTCAAACTTCTTCGCTTAACGCTTTGACTGCTACATCACCCGAATCCGGGTGACAGCGTTTTGTACATCAACTTAACGATGAATCTTCTCGGTGGCGTATCGGAGGGACCGAATTTTGTTAGATGTAATAAATACTGAAGTGACAGTAGTACAATTGTTACGAAGAATCTTGACTTTCTGGTCTCCGTTCTATTAAGAGAACTGTTCCGCTTGTATGAGAGTTCCAGTGAGTGCTTATTTGGCGGTCAACGTGTTAAGTTGCTCCGAGAGAGCGGAGATCGTTTGGTCGTCGAACGGGATCCGATTTTTCGTGCCCGAAAGACGAGAGAATAACGATCCATCGAGTTTGACAAACTTTTACGAACACCTGTGGAATCCAGCTGCTCCCCTTCGCCCCGCAACGTCTCAGGCTCCGTCTCGCGCTCCACGGAGCGACCACCTGTTTCGAGCGGCGGCTAATATTTCTTAGCGCGCGTAGATTCGTCCTTCGATTCGGAAGAGATCCGGGTAGCTACTGTTCGACTAATCTCCGGAACGCAATCTTCTCGCCGAGGTATCGTTATCGTTGTTACAGGGAATAATCGCGTTGCATGTAACGCGATCGAACTGCCCGCGAACAGCTGCGTAGACCCGGAGGATAGAGATCGGAGAGGGTTGGATGTCGTGACACACGCATTCGTAACGAATCCACTCGCGGAATGGGAAGGGCGATTCTCTGCGCTCTAAAAATCTGCTTGCCGTCGAGCAAACGACGCGTTCGCAAATAGCTGGCTACTGGAGATCGGAGCGGCATCGGCGAATAAACGCGATCACTGTTGATTCGGTGGGAGAATCGAGATGGGTATTTCGGAGCAGTTGGCCAAACACCGATGGCCGACCGGTCGTCAATGGTTAACGAAACCAAGAGGACCCGTGGTATGCGCGCATCGATCCAGCTAACGGCAGACGCGTTTGGTTAGTACCGTTCGAACCGTCCCTTGATTTCATTTTCATTGGATCGGTATTAGTCCGGTGCGACGGGAGAGCCGATTCGGATCTGGAATCCGGAATCTGGAACGTTAAGGGGGAAACGCGGCTGTCTATCCACGCGTGTATCGCGCTGGCTCGTCGCGATAGCCGGGTTTGATTAAATGGAAGAGGACAGGATCGAACGTCCCCTTGAGACCGTGGCGACCGTCGTTGCAACGGTCGGAGATTCATGTTTTCGATTCCTCGGATCGAGACACGACCCGTCGCGTACACGATTCTTCCCTATCGCCGCGATGCCGATAAACGCACCGTCGAAACTGTACGGATCCGATTGCGCCGGCTGATAAGGTCGCTGAAAATCGTCTCCATTGTCTCCCTACGAAACCTATCCGGACAGCTGACGAACGGACCAATAAACGAGTACGATTGCACCGAGGGATTCTGTTTGAGTAGATTCGTCCGATAAGAGTACGCTGTATCGGTTGTAGAATAGCTCTGATCGTTGGGAAACTGAAACTACTGGAGTTAAGCTGACCCTTTTCTATTTTCTTTCATTAGAATTAAGGGGTTGCGAATGCTCTTCGGGAAAGTTGCTAAACGAATTGATTTGGTAGCAGGCAAAGTGAATTATAAGATAGTTGATATGTGAATGGATGCACTCTTCGAGTTTCTATGCGAAATCAAAGGAACGTTGACTCGACTGCTCGGTAGTTCCAGTGTTGACTAATGATCGGAGTGAACTCCTTGCCTTATGATATACTTCTCGAGTGTAATTGGTACAACAGTTCGTCAATAATTTACTGAGAAAAGGTGAAAAATTCTAGGTATATTCTATGCATATATTTGCTACATAATATAATAATCGATATCGGAAGAATAATAAGTTGAATTCAAAGGAATCGAGTAATATTTATGTATACTGACCCTTTGAACTCTGTAGGCTCCAATGTTGCACCAGTTATAATGTTAAATATTTTAATGAATCTTGAAACTACCCTAAAATTATTCGATTTTACACATCCAAATTTTGTACTAAGAAAAATAAAAGATCGAAGAAATGTTATAGCGTTTCTAATTTTCGCTAGGAATACTATAAAAATTAGTTGCAGTTGCTAATGGATTACAAAACAACCCGGAGTGCTAAAGGTTAAGCTCTGTTTAAAATATTCATCACGAGACTGAGACGTTATTATAAAGCAAGGGGTCAATAAACGCGAATCGAGACGTCATTGAAACTGAAAATTACTCGAGATTGGTTGTACATTTTATTTTGCGAGTTTCCGTTCAAAAATAAAAGAAATGTCGATTCGACTGTTCGGTGTTGGATGACTAATGAATGAATTAAACATGAATCGGAACATTGTTGAAACTGAAAAGTACTCGAGATCGGTATATTTTATTTTGAGAGTTTCCGTTCAAAAATAAAAGAAACGTCGATTCGACTGCTCGGTGTTGGATGACTAATGAATGAATTAAACATGAATCGGAACATTGTTGAAACTGAAAAGTACTCGAGATCGGTTGTATATTTTATTTTGCGAGTTTCCGCTCCGTCGATTCGACTGCTCGGTAGTTCGTGTTGAATGACTAATGATCGGAATCAAACGTGAATCGAGACGTTGTTAAAACTGAAAAGTACTCGAGATCGGTTGCATGTTCGACGACGCCTGGCCGAAAGAGCTTGTTACCGGTCCGCGTATCAAACTCCGACGTGGCGCGCCGCGACGCGACGCTACGCGGCAAGGCAGAGCGTAGCGAGCAAAGCGACGGCGACAGCTCGCCAGATGTTTCTCGCGCTCGTCCTTCTTCAGACTCGTTGACCCCGGGCCGTCTCACGCGCGCAACCCGTAAACAAGTTTACTCGAACGTGCTCGGGAAAAGGTGTTCCGAGTGGGCGATGCGCTTTCATTCGACCGACGCGGGCGAGTCTAAACGCGATTACAGTCTTCTTTCAAAAAAAACCGGAGGAAACACGTATACTCTTAACGCTAACCGTACCGGCACTTCTTCCACCGTAAAAATGTCTAATCACAAAAATAAAGGTAAACAAATTAGAGGATCAATTCTCTTCTAATTCAAGCATGAACAAAAGACAAATTTATAAAAAGTTAAATGAACGAGACGCACAATTTCAAATTCCATCATTTAACCGGTACGGTTAGTGTTAATCACACAATGTATATACTCAACAAAAAACCAAATCGGTCAGCTTCGATACGTAGCCGTTGGATTCAATAATATCAATTCATAAAAAAGGTTAATATAAAAGTCGATAAAAGCACAGGTGGAACGGCAGCGTTCAACAGAATAGAAGCGTTTTAGTTTAATTTTTCGATGCGTTTCCTCGTGAAACGATCGGATAGGTCGAAAACTATCGCCGCTTCGAGCGTTCGCTCGGCGTTGCTCGCAGCCGCGCCACGCCGGTAAAAGAAAATTCGGGTGTCGGAGCGAGGAATGTACTTACACGAGATAGCCTCCTTGGGAATGTCGCTGGCAGGAAAGCCCTGTGACTCGAAGTACGGCCTGACGGGTTCGCATTTTAATCCGGCGTGCACCGTGTCCGTGACGACGCTAAGGAGCAGCAGAACGCACAGTATCGAGGACACGCCACTCATCGTCATTCTCGCGGGGATCACACGCGACACACTCACCAACCGGCGCGAGAACCGATACGCGAAACACGAGGCTCGCGTTCGAACATTCGCGGCGAAACGGGCAATTGGTAATCGCCGATCGGCTCGACGAGAGCTTCTCACGATTCGAAACGAACCGCGCCACGATGGTATCCGTGATAACCGGGTGCCGACTTGAAGAGGGACGACCGCGATATACTTGTGTATCCGTCAAGGGGGATGCAGTGCGACTCGATTCACCGTGATGCGTTGCGATGCGATGCGATGGGACGAGACGGGATGCGTTTTATGGTGCAAACGATGCGATGCGATGCAACCCGACACGACGCGACTCAACGCGGCAGAGTGAAACGCTACCCTCACGACGAGACGAGACGCACTGACCGTCTCGCAGAAACGAACGCGTGCCGACAGTCACGCGCATGCGCTCTGACGCGCACGCGTACTCCTCTACCCCATAGCCGATTCGAAACGCAGCGCGAAAACCGGTCCACCGCGTTTTCGAACGTTCCCGTCGAGCATACCGTTGACGAGCGTCGAGGGGAAATTACGAATGGACACGTGAAATGTCAAATACGTTTATATCCTCGTGCATTGATCTTATAAACAATTGTACATAAATGTATTCTCATCAGTGGACGGCATTGATACCTTTATGGTTGGACGGAATCGAGATCGTCAACGTCGGAGGTGAAAGCGGTTGAGAATGAGCATCGTCGAGAACTCCAACGTTGACGATCGTGTTTAAGGAAATGACGAATTGCAAATTAACACGTTGAATGCCATGGGGGTCACCGGTGACCCCCAACCACATCGAATCACTATAATTCATTGAATTAAACGGTGTGACTGTTTGAAAACATTTCTATGTTACAGATAATGCTACATAATACAGTGACACTCAGCTAGATGAACGTGGAATCGCAACATAATGATTCAATATTATATTTTCTCCATTCCGTGTATTTTCCTCAGTGAACTCGTGCGGCGTTCAACGTGTCAAAGAAGCATACCGTCGGTCAGCGTGAAACTAAAAGTGTGAATCGTGAGCGAAATCCAATCTACATATACGTGACGGTGCTGTGGCATAAGGGGCAAGCGTTGATGTTGACGACGTCGCGCTCGCTGGCGACGTAGTGTCTGCAAACGGTGCATATCCAAGTGTTGCTGAGATCCATCAACGGTTTCCCGGACACGATACAGGCGGGAAACCTGGTCGCGCAGTTCGGACAGGCGACGCACCAGTCCGGCACGAGACTCTCGCAGTTGGCGCACTCCGCCTTCGAGCTGCGAGCGTCCTTCGGATTGTGCTTCGTGAAGATCTCCACCGCCAGGTTCTCGTACTCCTCCCTGGTGGATTCCGGGACGGACTCCAGCGACTCCAGCTTGACGAAGGCCTTCGAGCAGACGGCGAACGCGCGGTCGACGGCGCTGGCCAACGCGAGCAGGCAGTACACGTGCTCCGGTTCCAAGATGTCCTCGTACTCCCGGAGTCGCAGCGCGGTTTTCATGGCGGCGTCGAAGTTCCCCGAGTATATCTGCCTGTGCGCCAGCAAGAAGAAGTGATACGCTTCCGCGCCCCTCCAAGCGTTCTCGATCACGCGACTGTCCTCGTTGTTCTCCGCCAGGCCCATCACGACGTTGCTGCGAGCTCCTTTGACCGAGGGCGCGCCGTTGATGTGCTCCTCGATCAGCAACGCCGCCAGAACGTAGATCTTCTTCACGCGCAGCGGACTGATCCTGCGTATGGCCTGCTCGTCGGCCAGACGAAGCAGCAATTTGGCTGCCTCGAGATTGTAATTCGCCTTCTTGTACAGCTCTATCGCCTGCAGTCTCTTGCCGTTTGAAAGAAGATGGTTCGCGTACTTGTTCAGCAGCTCGCCGATCTGCGCCATTTTGTAGGTCTTGGCCAGCTCGACGGCCTGGTCCCAGTGATTCAGACGAACGCACGTGTCTACGGCCAACTTCACGTCCCCGTATCTGATGTAGGCCGCGACGGCTTGCGAGCACATGCCCACCGACGCCAGCAGTCTGGCCACCGTCTTCAGCAGAGGGCTCTTGTCCGGCAGTTGCTGCACCGTTCCAGCGAGCTCCACGAAGTCCTCCAGTTTGTAGTAACATTCGACCAACTTCTCCAGGTTCCTGCTCTTCTCGTAGTACTCCTTCGCTCCCTCCCAATTCTGCCTCTCGGCGTAGTACTCGCCGATCTTGTTGTAGGCGTGTTCCATCTGTTTGTCGGACCCGCCGATGCCCATCTTCATCAGCTGCACCACGCGGAAGTAATCTCCCAGTTTCTGTCGCAGCGAAACAGCAAGGTCCCTTCTGTCCATGTCCAAGTAGAGCTTCTCCGCCTCCTCGTAGTTGCCCAAGTACGCCGCCACCTCCGCCTTCTTCAGCTGATCGTTGTGCACGTTCTGCAGACGCTTTATGAACTGTATGCCCAGGTAATCGGAACATCGGACCATCGCGTTCTCCGCTGTCTCCAGATCCAGCTTCTCGAGCGCCGACTCCGCCAGCAGACGCCACAGTCGAGGATGCGGATTGTCCTGGATGAAGTTGTTGGCTTCCTTCGAGCCAACCTTCACCAGCAGCTCCCTCGTGTCCCTCAACGACTTCACTTCTAAGTCCACTATCAACTCTTTCCTAGTGTCCTCCGGTTTCTGCATAAGGTCGTCCAACAGGACACAACGTATCTCTAAATCTCGGAACGAACATATGTACCCGGAACACGAGATCGGCTCTTCGGGGTCGAATTCCCTCAGCACGTACATTCTGGTCTTCTCCATGATGGCCAGGAGCGTCGGATTATCTTCCGCCCAGCACATGGCCCATACGTCTTTCCTTTCGAACTTCTTTATATCCTCCGTCGATCCTCCGTCTTTCGAGCCTGTCCTCCTGGAATCCGTCTCCAGGTCCAGCATCGTCAACACGCCGTTCGAATCCATGACGGAGGCACGGGACGAGTCGCAATTGATCGATATTTTGGAAAGTTTGCATGCCGTATTGTACCGGTTCGTGAGAGTTATTTGCGGCAGGGAGTACCGCTGAATCATGCCCGATTCTCTGCCGATCAACAGGACATTTTCCGTCGCGGACAGACAGCAAATCGGGTCCATGGTTGCTTTCGTGTTGATCGGTGTTTCGAACGACCTGTCCTTGTCCAGGTCTTGAATGACTTCCGTCACGCCCGTTGGCGTCTCGTCGATGTGATAAATCTTCTCCCTCCTTGCTTTGCCCGCGTGCAGCGGACCGTTGTGCGGACTGCGGTAGTTCCACACGAGAAAATTATTCTTGGATGCGGTGATCACGAGGCTGTTGGTCATGCTCACCCATAGCGGCTCCAAGTTTATGAACTTCGAGTCGATCGGGGTGGCTATGGAATTGCAAACCAAAAGCGCGAATCGTTCTGAACCCTGCGCGGGGTCGTTCATCACTGCCAGTACACAATGCTCTCCGTGCGAATCTATCGATATCAGTGCTCTCACGTGTTTCGTGCAACACGTGTTGTTCACCGTGTTCCAAAACATAATGGAAATACCGTCCTTGCTGATCCTCTCGTTCGTGTACACGACCGTTTTGCTGAAATAAGTCCATTTGTAATCTAGTCGAATATTTGCGAAATATATGTGCGAATCGATGGACAAAGCTACTCTGAGAGACCCTCCTTCCCAGGCGCAACAGGTCACCTCTCTACCGGGTACTCTCAGCGTTCTCATGTGTTTACCGAACGGCGTGTAAAACTGAATCACATTCGTGTCCTTTGTCTCTCCGTTCCCTAGTAACGGCATCATACCTGTCACCGCCAACAGTGAACCGTAGCTGTTCCAACAACACCATGCAGTCGTCACGCCGGTCTCAAGAACAATCGGATTGTCGTCGTTCGTGTTTCGCATCAATTGTATTTTGCCGTTTCTGTAGCAGATGGCCAGAGTCGGGCAATCCAGAGCGACGTAACCGTTCCTACCGTCGTACCACTGTAAGGCCACTATTGTTTGACTCTGGCCACTGTTCAGCGGTATCGTGTTCAACTTTGTTAAAAATACTCCTTGATTATCGTACAGATGAACTTCGCCATTTTTCAAACCAAACAACAACAGTTTTCCATCTGGAGACCATTGGACTGCGGCAAGAGATATACCCTTCAATTCTTTCCCCCAGATTCTGTTACCATCTACTGACCCAACGATAACAGTTCCATCTTCGTAAACTATGCAGATTTTCAGTCCATCGGTACTCCATGCCATTCCTTTTACTGTTGATTTGTTGCAGTTGTTTATCATTTCGTCGTACCAAGAACCTTTGTACAACATCCAGACAATTATTATTCCATTCTCATCGCTGGAGGTCAGCTTTTGGTGCTGTTCGTTCCAAGTGACTACTTGCACGTGACCATTATGTCCCTCCAATGTTTGATTCATGCTTAAGTTACTAGCAGCTGTTATATTACGAGACTTTCCACTACTGGTAGATGGATTGGGATTTGAATCAACCCGAAGCACTTTCAACAGACCATCTTCCCCGCCGACTGCTATGTAACCATCCTTCTGATTCCATGCTAAACAATTAAGGCGGAAATTGTTTGGTATTGCAATCTTTTTACTCAAGTAGACAAACATTTTGTTTGCGTGGGCTAAATAATGTGTATAATGATGGATCAGTATAACATTCTCTTATTTAAATTTCTGAAAAGGAGAAAACGATGAATTACTCACGATCACGTTTACTATCTCATTCGTCAGTTATTTTATTATGCTACTTACGTTACGCAGATACTTGTCGATTAATAAACATATTTATCGATGTGAATGACAGGTCAGTGTTTATTGTATGACTCGAACGTTTGTACAATATCTACATCCTGTTATGACACGTCCCATTATACAAATAAATGGAACGAAATTTATTGGATGAAAAAAATGTAATTTCATTGAGAGCGTAATGTTTTTCAATGGAAAATTGAAGTAAAGAAGTGAAAAAAGGTTGATGTAAACAACAGCGTTCAATCGAATGCATACATTGAATCGGTGTACGTCAATTACAGACCCATTCACAATGCACACTAAACATTATATCATTATTGCTCATTGGTGTACTACAGAGGTGTCTAAAAATTTAGTTCTTAATATAAATTAATAGTAATATACATTTAAATAATAAATATACACTGGTATGAAAAATTGCCTATATTCAGACTGTTGTAACTTTTTGAAAAGATCGGTAACGTGTCTACCAGTTTGAGCGTTTTGTCACGGATGTCGCTACCAGCCAAAAGCACAGATTTTCGAAAACAAATATTCTTGTTGCTATATGCATAACATGCTATATACAGAACAGCATGGATTATTCATTGTATTAAAAAATTTATATACTAAAATGAGAAAAGAAATTTCCTACAGCGCATGATCAATGTCTTCTTTCTTGAGTTTAAGGCTAACTTAAAAGGAACTTACAAGTTCTATTTGTTAGTTCTATCTTACACTTTATATGGAAATGTCTCGTGTGCCAAAAAATTATCGAAATAAGGGAGAAAAAGGAGTGAATCGAGGAAGGAGTCCCTGCTATGAACCACTTAGCACCGATCAATACTGGTCAGCATGGATCTGCATTGATCTGAAATGGTCAGTAGTGTTGGTAGTGGCCAACGGTGAGGTAGGAGCAGACCATAATTGAGGTAGGATGGTCAGAGAGGTCCAAGGAAGACCAGAGTCTTAGAGAAAAGGAGATAAATGAAGCTAAAGAGTAACTGCTCGATACACTCTAACCGGATAGGAACTATCTCAATCGGCGATAATGCTAGTTTCCAGGTCTCACCACGTGGAGGTTGCTGCGAACGAGACCTAGAGAGGGTGGAAACTGAATTTCATCAACGTCTCTTTTTAATGCTAAATCTTATTTTTAACGGTCGACGTCTTCCTTAGCCAACTTAATTCTAACGTTACTTTAGCCTTAACGGATAACTTAAATTATACATTTCATCGCAATAACAATGGGAGTGAATCAAGGAAGAAGTCAGTAAACGTGATGACGGTTACCTGATCACGGTAATTGTTTATTGGCTACGTTCTGGTAACTGCTTATGATTGTTCTCCATTGTGTCCGTAATTACGAGTGAACAATATTGAGATTATTCTCTTTGTTTCACTGTATTTGACTGTCAACCGTCATTTATAAGATACCGCATTATTTTACTGCTGAAACGTCACCTTGCGACGTTCGATATAATGAGTAAAGAATTTTTGATATCGGTAATAGTGTACTAATTTTCATTGAAATTTCCAACGTTTTTGATTCTCATTCTTATCGCTTATAGTGCTGCGATGCAAAACCAGCCTTTGTCGATATAACAGAGCGTAACATGAAAATGGTGCGGAGTATCACCGGGATCGGTGATTAAATTTTACGTCGCATGATATGTCTATGCAATACCTCGTCTCTGGTGCTATGGACTAACGGTCGAATCAATCGGTAAAACAGCACAGGATCGTCTCAAATTACTGCTTCCTGTTCGTGCCTCGTTCGTTGAATCACGTTATACAAGTTTCTAACGATAATCCGTTAAAAATGCCATTTGTTTACGGTATATGCGAAACGCCCGGTTGCAATAATGTGGCCAGTCTTCGGTGTCCAACTTGTTTGAAAATTGGTATACAAGGTTCTTATTTCTGCACCCAGGTAGGAAACCATAATTTTCTAGGTTAGGCCGTGAAATGAGTTAAAGATCTTCGACACCTCTTAATGCTTGATACTTTTATTCACATCATGTGACAGTAATGACGAAATCTCATATTTCGAATCCTACTTATATTTACTTAATTATTTCAACAATTGCCACTATTTAGGATTGTCTTTAGGTTTTATTATTAATATGGTACCTGCACGTGCGTGTATCGTTTATAAATATTAACGTTGCAATATTTTAATTCAAATAAGAGTGAATAATGCATCAGTAATATTTGTTTCTCCTATCTGTAATAAATGGTTTTGCTTTGAACATCAACTGCTTTATACTATACACATGTACAATATGTATGTGTACATATTGTTGATGTGTTTCAGGATTGTTTCAAAAGTGGTTGGAAAATACATAAAATTATCCACAAAATAGCGAGTGAGTTTATTAGTCATTTTTATGTAATACGTGTTTGTAACAATGAATATTAACCCTTTGCACTACTTTGATGAGTCCCACTTGTGATCATAATTTTGAATAAAACATGAATGTCATAAGTGAAACTTAAGGGTATAATTTTACGCCAAATATAAATATTATAAGTGATCTCACTTATCAGCTATTACAATTGTGGCCTGTATTTTGCCCAGCTAAAGGGTAATGCAATGGGTTAAATGTAAGAAATAATAAATTATTGTTGATTCACAAAAGTGATTATATTGTATGAAAGTAACTACAAATATTCTACATAAAATAAAATCAAAATTATATTTTTTGTATAGGAAGAACAGGTGGAGATACATCTAATGAATATAATCCATGGCCCTATTATCATTATACTGGACAATTAAGACCTTATAAAAAAGAACCTCGTCGAGAAGTACCTGAAAGTATTAAACGTCCAGATTATGCTACACATCCAACTGGTATTCCTATAAGTGAACAAGCTGTTCGAGATTATGCCCAGATAAAAGTTCTTGATGACGAGGAAATTGAGGGTATGCGGGTAGCTTGTAAGGTATATCTATTTCTATAAATTTTACAAATCCTAAATTGTATTTAGAATTCTTTGAACTGCATCAAGTTGTTGTATATCAAAATTTCTTTCTTTTGAGTATACTTTTATTTTCTTTTTAACAAAGAAGGGAGGCATAAATCAGAATTACTCTCATAGCTTGGACGTGAAGTGTTAGATGAGGCAGCACGTACCTGTGATGTGGGTGTTACAACTGCTGAGATTGACAAAGCTGTTCACGAAGCTTGTATCGAGAGGGACTGCTATCCATCCCCCTTGAATTATTATCAGTTCCCAGCTAGTTGTTGCACTTCCGTGAATGAAGTAATTTGTCATGGTATTCCCGATACCAGACCACTTCAAGATGGAGATATTTGCAATGGTAATATATATTACATTTTATAAATATACCTTTAATTTATTTAAAATAATTTTATAATTGTTTCCCCTTGTAGTTGATGTAACCGTGTATCATAATGGTTTTCACGGTGACTTAAATGAAACGTTTCTAGTCGGTAATGTGAAACCAGAAGTAAAGAAATTAGTGGAAGTTACTTATGAATGTTTAGCGAAAGCTATCGATATCGTTCGACCAGGTGAAAAATACAGAGAAATTGGAAATGTTATTCAAAAATATGCGCAAGCCCATGGGTGTAGCGTAGTGCGCAGCTATTGTGGTCACGGAATTCATCGTTTATTCCATACTGCGCCAAGTGTACCTCATTATGCCAGTGAGTATTCTCTTTTTAAATTCATTTGTCACTTTTACTTTCTTCTTAATATAATGTTCCTTTTAATATAAATTCTTTGCAATTGTTTTCAGAAAATAAAGCTGTAGGCGTTATGAAACCAGGGCATTGCTTTACTATAGAACCAATGATATCCCTGGGCACGTGGAGAGACGAAACATGGCCAGATAAATGGACAGCGGTCACTGCAGACGGTCAATGGTCAGCACAGTTCGAGCATACGCTGTTAGTTACAGAAACTGGCTGCGATATTCTCACAAAACGGCTCACCGACGACGGTAAACCGTGGTTTATGGATCGATCATAGTAATATTTCCTTATAAATTATCGTCGGGTTATGACATTTTAAATTTCGTGGATATGCAAGCATTGTACTGCTTAAATACCCTTATTTCTGTTCGAGTGAGATTTCGTTTCTCAAGATTCACTTTCACTTACACGCAAGCGACGATAATGGCATTGGCCAGCTGATAGTCGTATCCTGTAAGATATTTTTTATTGAATACTTGTTTCATTGGCTAGTTTTATAAGGCGGAGGAAAGAAGGAGGTAAAAACTTGTGATCCTTGATGAATAAAATCTCGTTAGATGTTTTCGTTTGTACCTAACCCAGAATGGCTCCTATACCATATAGAATTACCTCGTTGATACATATGTACATATATAAGTGTAACACAAATTGGTGATGCGCAATGATTGAAATAAAAAAAAAAAATTCAATTCTGTAAATCAATCGTCTGTTCGTCTTCATTGATATAATCGAATTCGGGTACAACAACGATTACCTAACAATAAATAAATTTCAAATAAATTATCATGTCCCCTAAACAGCGGCTGTTCCCAGTGGTACTGTCAACGAAAGTCGTCTGTACGCAAGAAATATTCGACAAAGCGGGTGATTCGTGCCGTAAGGAGAATCTGCTTTTGCTTTCGTTCCGTTCTTTTTTCTAAGCGCAAGTCCCGTCGACATACTCCGCGGAAACAGCATGCGAGTTCCCATTTCGAAGTTACCTCGCTCGTTATCGAGTAACTTACACAAAAACCCTGAACTGTAGCTAACCGGTTAATAGGATTGCAATAAATATTCACGGTATATACAGAATACTCTGACAACGACAGTTTAAACCGTGCTCTTCGGGTTTAAACGTGAACCGTATCCAGATGTCGACTGTTCAGGCGTTCTACCATCGGACTGCGAACTCGCAATATCTCCTTCATCGCTCTCGTACTCGTACTCAACATCTGCACTTTCTTGGCCATCGTCATTCTGCGATTCCCCGTTATTGTACTCATTCTGATCAGGCACCATAATTCTTAGAGGTCGTTTATTACTGTACACGCTACTCTGCCTTTGACGATGCTGCTGCCTATCGTACTCCTTTCGTTCTTCGTATTGCTGCTCTTGCAGTCGTTGCTTCTGCCGATTTTTCATTCGATCTTGATCGGACTTGTAATCGTAGTTTTCATTAATCTGTTGATTCGTCTCATAATTCTCGTGTTTATGATTAGAAGGTATAGATTCTTCATCTTCTACAGTCTCTTGATGTTGTTGTTGCAGCTGCTGCTGTTGTTGTTGTTGCAGCTGCTGCTGCTGTTGCTGTTGCAGTTGCTTTTGTTGTTGTTGTAGCTGCTGCTGCTGTTGCTGTTGCTGTTGTTGCTGTTGTTGCTGCTGCTGTCGAAGTTTTCCTATCAATTGACTGTTAACGTTCCCAGCTGCAGCTAATGCTGCTAATTTCTCAGCCGCGTCGCGATTCGGCAGTGTCGTGTAAAATTCCGTGGAGATGGCGTCGTTATTTACCGCTTTGTTGAAATAGGTCGCCTGCTGGTTCTGGTCGTTCGTCTCGTCGTACTCGATGTTATTTTCCAGCGGCTCGGAGCTGTCGCCGATGTACGGGAGATCTTCGTTCTGCTGCAGATTATTGCCTTCCTGGTTCTCCTCGGAAGCCTCCGAGCCCACGTTGTAATTCATATTTACCCTCCCGTCGACGTAATCCTGATTGAACAGAACCTGCTGCTGCTGTTGCTCCTTGTTATCTTGCTCGTCGTAATTGAATGATTGCATCTGGGGCTGCGAGAAACCTGTTACTCCAGTAGGCTGGAAGAATTGACCGAGTTGCTGCTGAAGTATGTGCTGCTGAAGTTGGGGTTGTTGACCTGGAATCAATGCGCTTCGATTTATCTTGTCACTTTGCTCGTGTCTTTAGTTTCAACTGATACCCCGCATCGATGAAACTTCATTTCTTGTGATTTCATGTATTATCATTAATGCAACGTTCAATTAGTTCAGCAAGAAAAAAATTCCATGCATCTCATAACTATAACCACGGCTTATATTGCGAGAGAAAAGAATTTATTTCGCGCATAAATAATTAAAATATGGGAAAATTACGAAACAATGAGTAATGTGGAAAAAATGGCAGATTTTCCATTGTATTCAATCGAGGGTATTCCACTATGACTTTTCACCGTAAGTTCATGTAAGTTTTCTGTATGCATCTTTCAATGAATGTATTGTTCAAAAGGAAATGAGTATCAAACAGAATAAATATTCTATTCTATTATATCTATTATATATCTATTATATATAATACTATCATATTATATATAGTAGATATATAATTATATATAATAGAATAGAATATTTATTTTGTTTTATCCTCATTTCTTTTTGAACAGTGCATTCATATAATATATATATTATTGATAAAATATATATATCAGTATAAAATATTGATTTCGAAAATTGGCAATATTTCACAAAGGTTTCTAACAATACGCGTGAAGTGATTGTCCTAAAAACATTACTTCTCGAAATTTAATTGGAACTGAACAGTGCACGAACATGTTACACAACCACTGTGTAATCTTGTATTACCTTACCTTGTATGTGAACCTTACCTGTTTGATATTGCTCCGGCATCTTTTGCGGAAAGCTGTTCAAAAGATCGTAGAGCTGGGTAGCCGAGAGCGGAGGACCGGCCGGTGCCGGATGACCAACGTGTAAATCAGGTATCTGTTGATTTATGATGTACGGTGTTTGGCCAGCAGTTTCGGGGAATCCGACGTGTAGAGAGCTGTGAAGATTCGTTTGCATCGGTAAGTTCGGTTGTCCTAGTTGTATATTAGTCCCGATCAGTCCGATATTCGACGCTGGTTGATTACTCAGATAGACATCGTTCGTCTGTAGATCGGGATTCACTATGGTCGACAGTCCTGTCGCGAATTCCGGAGGCAGGAACGTTGGTAGAACGGTTTGATAATCTTTCTGATTGATATCGTTGGTTTCGGTAACTTCGTAGTGATGTGTCGGCGTTGGACTGGTCACTGGCTTCTGCGGTGCTAAGCTTGTGCTGATCGTAGCGATGTCGAAGTTCGGTAGCAAAGATCCTGAGAGGAAATAGGAAAATGCGGTTATATTTATATTTTATCCGAACATTAGCATTTTTCCATTTAATTTTTAACCTTGGTTAATCTTGGTAAATGGCTTCCCTTGTATCAAATAGATTACCTTTTCGTACAATGAGAAACGAAGCTCTTTTATCCCAATATTTCACGCACCGATGCATTATACACCAATATTAAATATCAAATTTTATAATTTTACTTCATCTGATATTTTTTGAAATTAACTCAAAGAGAAATCACATCTTCGTCTAGTTAGAAAATGTTAAGTATTTCCAACGAAATACTTCCGAGTGCAAAGGGTTAACCGTAACAAAATATCAATGTACCCAAAGATAATATTCAAAAGTTCTAATCCAATTTCCAACGAACCGTGTTGATGAATCTTGTAAGAAGGGTCAGTAGTCTGCTGACGATGTATCATCTCCTGCGCATTGGTCTCTCCGTTGAAGGGCTTGTCCATGATGCTCAGATTGGGCGCGGGAATCGTATGAATCGGTCCCTTGTCGTCATCCACGCTACCCCTGTGCGTCGGTGGTAGCACCGCGGCTTCCGGTCTGTACTCGGGACTGTACTCGGGCATTTTGTTCACGGTGTGAAACTCGTTAACCGGCGGCCGCTGGGGAAGAACAGCGTGATTGTTCATGGGAGCCCGAATCGGCATTTGGCTCTGCCAGATAGGAGCGGGTATGTTGAACATCGGTGGTCGACGTATCCTGAAACGAGATTTCTTATCACGGCTCGCAATCAACGTTATTTATTTTATTTTATTTTGTTTTACTTTAGCTTTGCGACTCTGTATTTACTGTTATAATTTAGTACTCTTATCTCTTCCATTTCCTACATGTAGCTATGTAAAATTAACTCTTTGCACTCGGAAGTTTTTCACTAGAAATATTTCAAGATTTCCTAATGCGATAAAGACAACATTTTATGAATTTTGTTTTGCGATTTTGTATTTAGAAAAAATTATTCGATTTTCCACATCCAAATTTCCTACTGACAAGGAAAATAAAAGATCGAAGGGATGTTATAGCATTTTTCATTTTTACTAGAGATACCATAAAAATTAGTCGCAGTTGCTGAATAAATTACGAAACCATCTGGAGTGCTAAGGGTTAATCGATTTAGCCAATTAACGGGGCTCTACGGCTAGAACGCACTCCGAAGTCGCGAGTCGGGGGATTCACCTGTAGTTTAAAGGTTTCTGGTGCATTCTTTTCGGTGGGAAATTCCCGTTGATGTACATCGTGTTCCCCGTGGAGATCCTATGGGCGATCGGCCAATTCTTTTTGAAGACGAGCTTCGGCGGCGGCGGCGGAGGTAACGGGGGCCTTCTGATCTTATACCTGGCTTCGACGAGGCAGACACACAGGACCAGCGACCAACATATCCAATTCGTCGCCTGAAATTTGTTTAATAGAGCGTGTCGGACGATCGACTATTTTTAGTGGGAAACTTGACTTGCGGGATGGGTTATCGCCAGTTATTGCTGCGTGTAACGGTCTGCTGATCCTCGCGCGCACCTATACTGCCGCTCGAAAAATATTGGGACAGCTTATTCGATTAGGCAGATTTTTTAACGGAAAGTACATGTAACGAATGTTCCAATTTTCGTGTTATTTTGAGTTCGCGTGCGTAGATATGGGGCAGCTTATTCGATCAGGCAGATTAAAAAATCTTTAATGGAAAGTATATGTAACGAATGTTCCGATTTTTGGGTTATTTTGAGTTTGCATGCGCAGATATCGGAATGTATTGGGATTTTAGATATTAATATCTTATTAATCATTTGAAATTATTATCTGAGACTGTTTTATCTGGTTTCTATTACTCTGTCTTTGTTGATACGTATTTTGTCAGAGACGAAGTGTGAGAATCGTGAGAGTATAATATTTCCAAGGTGAAAATTTCGCAGGCTATAAATAAAATCGTTCGAATGTAGGAATTATATAGAAAGTGGAACGCTGCTATTTGTTCGAAGAAAATAGGAATAGAATAACATGACAGAAGGAAAATCTGTGATAGAGAATTTGTATTAATTAGTGGAAAAGTATGCTGAACTACATTATTTCGTCGTATTTTGTTTGTTAATGGATTTCTAATTGAGAACTAGTATTTAATAACTATGTCTTCTATTATCTATAAGAATGTTGTATCTTAAATTATTGTCAACACTTCGGTGAATTTTTTTCACTTTAGTCGAAAGAGTGCAAAGTATTAACATTGACGTGAAATTAATATCGTACGTTATTAAGATAAGACTTTAATATTTCATATAAAAAGCGTTAATTTTGTGTCAATTAGGAAAGATACATAAATCTCAACATTTTATGATTAATTAAAAAGTAACCGTAAAAAGTAACTGTACCCAGGTATCATCGAATATTAAACGTTGATGTGTTTACGTGATATCGAATAATGTTATATTTTTGAATTTTCGTAATAATTGGTTTCAATTTTCATGGCCAATCTTTATACTTTTTCGTTAGCGACGTTTAATAAGAATTCGTTCGACGGAAATTTTATACTTGAGCGGAACAGAATTTCAGAACAGGTTTCTATTCATGATTATGGGTACGCGAAGAATTCGTAACGATCGGAAAAGCAGACATTTTAAAACCGGAAATACAGACCTATCGCGTGTCTTACGGTATTCACATATCAACACGTGCACCTTCCTTTATTCTTAGTATAAAGTCAGTACATAGGCCAGCGATCCTCAAATTTTCGAAACTGATCCAGAACAGAATGCGATGAATAAAGTATTTCATGATTATCTCATATTCTTTAAATTTCCATGAAAAATCTAACTCTAATACATATATATATATCTTTATTTCATTTTTCTGAAGTTTACGTAAAATCCGTAATATTTTATTTGTCCAATTACGTTGAAATTATTCAAATGTTTGGCGATCAAACTTGTTATTTCAGGTGAAACCTTCATATCTCTGAGATGAACATTTAATTTTAAATCCGCTTTGAAGCGTGCAAACCATGCTTAGTCGTTCGAACCGCCGATAGAACCTTCAGAAACCGGTGTAATATATTTACAGCCCCTTTGACAATATTTACACCTTATAGAATCTGTAAAACAAGTGGCGAGAGTGTTCGTTTCTTTCATCTTTGTAAAACCGATGAACCGAACTTTTCCTCAGACAAAAAATCTGGCAACACACGTGAACAATATCACAAAATTTATTACGAAAACAACATTACAGACCTCCACCAACACGATTACAGCCAAAGTGAAATTTCAAAGTACTTAATAATTCCGGGAACTTCAGCAATCATTCCGCAACGTGAATAAATTGATTTGAATGAGAAAGGAACAATCCAGCCCAGTAACAATCGACAATAACAAAAGGCGTTTAGCTCGCACGTATCGTTTTGTTAGACTGTTTTTTGTATTCGTTACTATTCGACGTCGCGTGTTACGGCGAACAGTGACTTCAACGAGCGCAACAATGGCCGTCCATTGTGACGCGCTGTGTTGTAGTTTGAGAAACGCTGTCGCGGGCAATGAAACCGAAGAGAGAAGTGCTGCGTGTTGTTAGCGAACAAAGTGGGACGGTGTGCCACATCGATATAGGAAAAGCGAGGGTAAGAAGCCGGTGACGAGTGCGAGGTCGAAAAGAAAATAGTCGAGCGTGGAAATGATCGTCCGGTTCATATGGATTAGAAATGACGATCGTAGATGCAACATGCGCAGCGATCGTTAGACTTCATTTTCATGTCTTTAATGTGCCTCTTCGAGGTGGATCGTTCACTGTCGTCGGAACGGACGAAGAATTTCTCGTCTGTTACGGCGCCATTAGTTTCAATGTCAGCGCCATGTTTTCGAACACTTTCGTCAATATCATCTCGTTCGTAGTTTATCGTGTTTAGAAATAAATTCACGATGTTCAGTCGAACTTTCTTTTTACTAATTAATTAATTTGCATTTACTACATATTTATATATATATATTATTTATATATTATTTTGTTATAATATTTATATTATAATTATAATATAAGATTGTAATATAAGATTATAATATAAAATTATAATTATAATATAAATATTATAATATAAAATAATATAAAATAATATAAAAATAATATTATAATATATAATACTATATAGTAATTAAATATATAGTAATATATAGTAATATATAGTAATATTATAATATATATAACATAAAGTAACTGTAATAGAAACTTTTCAACTGATTGCGATCACTCAATTCATTCTAACTTCGTATTTTACAAGCGTTACGCAGTTTCATTTGCATAATTCTTCCGTATTACGCTAATATTTGTAGATATTTAATTCGATAAGGAACCATCGCCAATGCAATTTATTATATAACACGACATTACCCTAGTTTCTTATAATTGTGTCACAATCGCAAATTACAGTCTTCCTCGTTCCTTGTTAGTCCCGTTTTCAACGAAGGAGGTATTTCCCGCAGAACGACCGTAGAAATGCCTACTTCCCGTTAATGATAACACTCAGACATCGGCCGCCTATTCTTTTTTCGTCGCATAACGGAACAAGTTTCTATATCGGATGGTCGGATCTATTAACATGATTTTTCAATCGGAATTATACAACTGTATCGTTACAAGTCGAACCTTCTGATTTAATATCTGCGCGTCGAATTGGATAAAAACATTGTACGCCGAACGAAAAACGGTTGTGCATCGGAAGGAATTATAATTCATTACCCACATGCAGCATTCGTTAACATATGCTTAAAGCGATTAGCAGTAAATCAGCGACCGATTAATCAACGAGAAACATGTGCTGGAAAGATTAAAGAGATAATTAATGTGTTAAGATGTCGTTACATCCTATTATATTCAACAAATTTCAATGAAACATCGTTAACGTAACTTTCTCAAATTATTCCTAATTATTCACTCACTTGTTACACTCAATTTCGTATCGTAATTTATCTTTCCTACAGTTACAATTTATTTGCGACTATATTTACCTAGGTATATAAAATTATTCAGAAAATCTATAAATAAACTACTTAGAGTCTCTTAAACCTGGTTGTTCGACAATGTATCTCTGTAAATACTTATCAGGTTTCAATCTTTAAATCACACGAATCGACCATAATTAATTTAGATTATATTCTCAATTCAAACTAACGATCACTGAATCGTTGAAAATTGAAACGTGTTCTTTCCAAATAATAATAATAATAATCGTATCAAAAGTTACTCACCTTCATTCTGGTGTCCTTAAATAAACGCCTGCTGCGATCGAATTCCTATTTCCGAAAGAATCACAATGAACTTCTGCGTTTGCACTAAAAAATAATTATACAACGAGGAAAATTCCAGGAAAATCGAAAATAATACCGGCCAGTCGAACGATCCAGTGGCAATCAGAAATAATCGAATACAAGTTCACGCGCGCGATGATTGGACGTTGAGGAAGCACTGCATGTTCTGCACGCAATTAGGTCATTGTCCTTCATTTATACTCGCAACCCGGCGAACGTATCATCGAAGGCCGAAACGCTGCCTCCTACCTTGACTCTGACGGATAACAACTGCTTCGAAATGCGGAACGTAACCGGGAAGAGTAATTGGTTCCATGAATTTTACCGGAATTCACGATTTGCCATTGTTCGTGCCGCCGCCGCGACGGAGTCGTTGCATTACATCGAAAAGTAATCCTTTTCGGCAGGATTTTTACATTTTTCAGCAATCCCTGGCGACATCTTCCGGGAGGAACGGGTCGGATAAATCATTCTCGTGTAGCGATTCGTGATGTTAATACGCGGGTCGTCGTTAAAATTTTGGGAAACGATGAGAGTCACAGATAAGTCTGAACTAACGAGGTTTTATTGTCTTTCGTTTTTGGTTTTATTGTTTTGTATATTTTCCATTGTGTTGTGTCAATGTTCTTTGAAAATGTAAAGCTTTACGAGAATGACTATGCGTTGAAAGTTTCTCGAATATTTTTCAGTAACGTATTTCTTGAGATTGCGATGATTTAGCAAAACGATTTAAGTTTTCTAGATTAGAGAGAAGTTAGCTTCAATTTAAAAAGTTTCCCTAGTTGTTTATATTAATAAGCAATGAGTAGACGATAAATGAAATGAATAAATGATAAATGAACAATAAATTAAACTAATAAATAGCAAAACGATCTACGTTTTCTAGATTAGATAGAAGTTAGCTTCAATTTAAGTAGCTTCCCCGGTTGTTTGAATGAATAAGCAATGAGTAGACGATAAATAAAATTAATAAATAATGAATGAACAATAAATTAAACTAATAAATAGCAAAACGATCTACGTTTTCTAGATTAGAGAGAAGTTAGCTTCAGTTTAAACAGCTTCTCCGGTTGTTTGAATTAATAAGCAATGAGTACAAATAATACAAATAATATTTAACTACCAATCACAGAAAATAGTAACATACATTGTTATACAAAATAATATAAACAGTGCAAGCTTCCATTTTAAAGCTCAAACTCCATTAATTAACTCAGTAATCAACAATTTAGACATCAGAGTTCTACAGAGAAGCAAATGATCGCAATCAATAAAATGCTCCATTTCTGCTTCTTCCTATGGAAACATCAAAAAATCTATAAAAACTATAGTCAAAACAATAGATAACTCTAAGGAATGTCTGATCACCGATTTACGCAACGATCCTCAACGGAATTGTTAATTGTGTAACGCGTACGATTTAGGCGTGCTCCACAACGCGTTATGGCGGAGCGTAAAAAAGATTCAGGATGACAGGAAAGTCGATTTGCGAGTGCATCGTTGAGCCCGTGCAAGACGACAGATGGACAGAACGATCGGGGACCGGTCAAACGCCGTTTCTCTCCATATCCTGCTACTGGATTCCCTCGTGAGCGTACACCTGTGTGTGACCAACGTACGTGATCCAGTGACCCACTATATTCGCCGGTGCTACGTGAGCATATGACTGAAATTATGCGTCTTATCATTCCCTGTTCCACGAACGAGCTGAAAACTTTTCTGCTTCCTCCGCCTACACGCGTCTTCCTGTGGACACCGTGTGATCGATATAATTGAATTCATTATTATCCGCCGGCGATAATATTTATACTCCACCGTGGAATCGTAAAATCCGAAGTGGGTTAAGAATTGAATCAACTTGCTACGATTAAAGTCGTATTTTGTCGTTCCGTACTCGACGGATGGAAATGTTTCATTTATATTTTAATCGTGGGGAAAACGTTATCGGAAGAATGCTCGCCTCTAACCCTTTGCACTCGAGAGGTGACTTAGTCAGCATTTGATTTGATACAGCAAAAATATGAAGTTGAATATTTAGTATTTTAAATGGAACTTTGTATTGCTATGTGAAACATTTAAATAAAATAACTTTATTGCTTAACCCTTTGCACTCGAGAGGTGACTTTCAGTTACAAATTAAATATTTAGTATTTTAAATGAAACTTTGTATTGCTATGTGAAACATTGAAATAAAATAACTTTTATAACTATAACTATTATAATAACTATTATAATAACGTTATCGTCAGAACCAGCTTCAAACAATGTCGACTATATCTCGTCGGAAAATCTTGAATATTTCCAAGTGCAAAGGATTAATTATCCGGTGTGAATAAAGTGAAAGTCATTTTTCCGTGACGTTTCGGTACTCCATAACGATATTTCAGTATTCCGTGAGTTTCTTTGTCGAAACGATCACTACGATCACGATCGTTTGAATGTCTGATTTTAATTTTGAAGTTCACTGTACCTTCTCTCCTTGGCGCTCGACGAATGGGAATCCCATGCTTTCCAACGCACGATATTCGTCTCAAATGAAGAATCATGGAATTCAATCGATCATTGCGGACACTGTCGCGTTATTCGTAATATTTCAAGCTGTCGAGGCGGAATGGAGATAATACCTTTTCCAACGAACAGGATACGAGTTTTAACCCTTTGCACTCGAGAGGTGACTCTCACCCACCATTTGATTTCATACAGTAAAACTATAAAATCTGATATTTAATATTGAATTTTATATAATGGGAATACAATAATTTTGTTCCGTCGGAAAATGATAAATATTTGTAGTGAGAAAGCTCCGAGTGCAAAGGGTGATTTCTCAAGTTAGTTTCACAAAATGTCGTCTTTATGTCATCAAAAAATGTTAAAACATTTCTAACGAAAAACTTCCGATTGCAAAGGGTTAAAGGGGACGGAAGGGATGCATTAATCGTCGCTCACAATAAAGCGAGAATTCTAACAGTAATAAACAAATGCATTTATTTATAAACGCAGGAACTAAGTACGTTTCGCATGTTCGACAATATTCATACAGATTTCTCATAACCAATTAATCATACGGGTAACATAAATACTACGAAGTTTATAATCGCGTGTTCCAGCCGATGTTAGGCAACAAAGTGGAGCACGAAGCAATCAATATTTCTATGGCCTTTATCGTTAGCTCGCAAAATTCCTTTGCTCGTATGTACAAAATAAACATGTTACAGCTCTGTTCGTTGCAATCGCAGCGTACACGGTCGACAAGTCGGTACTAAGTCCATCAACGAGGCGCAACGGACAAATTCGCATTCGAAGTTACGCGAAGGTACTAGCATCGCCTCGTTGTATTTATCACAAAGAACGCACGACTATTGTAAATATTTGCCACGCTAGCCTGACTCGTGCGCAACTGTCCAACATTCTGTCGTTCGCATGCAAAACCGCTTTCTTTTCGTAAATAACTTCAAGAAGATTCGTCCGTGAGTAACGGGCCCGACCGCGAAGTCTGCCTTTGCTGCCTTGTTCCGCCGACTCGGTGAACGCGAGGCTGCCCGTTCACGCTGTCGATTCGTGCGTTCGCTTCTTCTCGTCTTCGTCGACCTTATTGCGGAATTCCGCAAGTCCGACGCAGCTAAGCGAGCCGATTTGCTTCTTAGCCATCGCAGGCTGCAACTTTCATGTCGAATTACGCTCTGCTTTCTGAACCCGCTCGCGCGGGGGTTGGTCGCGTAGTATAGGTCACTGAAACAGAAAACGAAGATGATAGCTGATGACTAGTTACATGAATATATTGGACATGAGTAAAGTTTTTTCAATTGCATGCATTGTATTTCTCATCGTTGTACATTTTGTGAGAGGCATTGAGAGTTTACTAGAAAGATGGAACAGCATTTGTGGATGAAATATATTTTAGATTGAAGTCAGTTTTGTTTACTTTAATTTTTAAGAATAAAATATGTATGAGAATATAGCGTTATTTATGGGATGACCTAATACAAGTTGCATAAACGTTGTATGTTTGGTTACAGATAGTGGATAACCGATAGGTTCACGAAATAATTATTTAAATTATTAAAATTAGTTAAAATACAACGATAGCTGTTTATATACTGATGGAAATATAAAAGATATATTTTAACGATAAGGGAAAGTACAATAAGAAATACAATAAATTCTTTCACTCCTGTTCAATCGTTTCCTTTGTATTCCTTTCATCTATAATTATTCTTTCTTGTTAATCAAAGTTATTATTAACCGGCGAATTTTTATACAATTATATTAAACGAAACCGTGAGAAATACAACAAAATTTTAAATACAATCAGATCCGATACTCTTCTTGAATATCAATATATTGAACTTATTGACGTGAAAAACAAATCTCTGTTTATTCTGCATAAAAATCTACAGTATAACTATTAGTATCCTAACGTTAATCTTAATGTTACATGTACAGCAACTTTAGCACTCTTATGATACATGTATATACACATAAATACCTCTCATGTTCGCGATACCCTAAATTCTTCTGGTACAAAATTGTATACTTAACCCTTTGCACTCGAGAGGTGTCTCTCAGTCACCCCTTGATTTGATTTGCAAAATTACAAAGTCTTATATATAATATTAACCTTTGCATGATGCATCAATACGTGGAATATTGAAATAAAATAACTTTCCTTCCTAATTTACATATGTTTTCTCGTTAATTAGTTTCAAAGAACATCGTCTGTATCTCGTCGGAGAATATTGAATATTTCTAGCGAAAAACTTTCGAGTGCAAAGGGTTAATATACACCGTGCATTTCTGTAAAACTAAACATTGCATGGCAACCTAGACAAATAATAACCGCACTCTCGTAACAATATTACCTCGTTAACGTGTCGCTTTGATGACTAACAGCGAATCATTGTTATCCCTTCTACGCCCACAAACGGACAAACTTTGAAAAATGAGTAGTAACAATGAACGAAGAACATAGTTATATTCTAACTATCTTATACTTAACATATTGTTGACCGGAAATTTTAAAGCGCAATTTTTCCAGCGCAGGTTACAATTTTTATGGGAATTGCATATTAATCGTATTAAATGCTCGGTAGTTCTAGTGTTAAACAAGAAACAACATTTGCCCTTCGAACGAGGGAGTGAGATGAGAAAGGCCTAACGATTGACCAACAATATTTACGTTCATATTACAGTAGAGTAACAATCAGCCAATGAAAGCGAAGACAAAATGACGTCTCTGCTTCATGCAGTCTAGTTTCCTCTTCTCTTACTTAATTAAGCGACGTTAACGAAATAATATCGTACTGCACACGGTGTTAAGAAATGTTTCGTTGCTAATAGTGGATTCTATATCTCTAGATTATATCTCCAGAACATTTCTCAACACCGAAACCACCAAATTAAATCGACTTCGTGCAATTTCTTTATAGAGACCAAGGTGCATCGACTCGAATCGACAATGCAGTTTGCGTATCGCTAAATCAATTTCTTCAATTCCTCAGAGCAACATCTGTTTGCGTATCGCTAAATCAATTCCTTCAATTCCTTAAAGTAACATCCGTTTGCGTATCGCTAAATCAATTTCTTCAATTCCTAAGCAACATCTGTTTGCGTATCGCTAAATCAATTCCTTCAATTCCTTAAAGTAACATCCGTTTGCGTATCGCTAAATCAATTTCTTCAATTCCTGAGCAACATCTGTCCTTTTGATAATTACAAACAGAAGAAACCATAGATGATTCCAAGCCATCCACTAATTCTCGCATCAACCCCCACATCCTCTCCCGCTCCAATTACCTGAGTCCGCAAGTCAGTCTCTCAGACTACCCCCGTGGCAGTCTCATGCGTCTCAAGACGTCGTTGACGGACCTTCTCCTGTTCGCGCTGTTGCGTCTCCTGTACAGACCGTACATGTCAAACCCAGCGTACGGTTGCAAGAACCCGTGACCTTGCCAATAAGCCGGCGCGTAGGGGTTCAGCAGCGGAATCTTCAGCGGTTCCTGCGTGGCAGGGGCGTAAGCACCCGGAAGCAAGGGCGGCAGGCCATGGAAATTCCCATGAGGCTGGAGTTTCGGCAATTCTAGTCCGTTCAGCGGATTCACGGTGTGCACTTTCGTTGGCTCGATCTCGGGCTCCGTGTCGATCGACACGCTGCCGTACACGGACAGGTCGTTGCCGGAGGTGTCGACCGGTAGCTTCAAGTTGCCTTTGATAGGCAGCGTGTACCGAATGTGCACCGGCGGGTACTCGACGCTCTGCTGGATCGACAGCGCGTTGTGGCCGCCGACGGGCAGGCCGGCGGCCAACGGAGGATACGCCAAGTACTCGTGGCCCTTCTTAGCGTCGTCAAAAGGGCGATGGTGGAGAGGAACTTCGTAGCTGGACGGGGGATGCGGCGACTCCACCGGGTGCTCCGGTTGACCGGGACCTGGGAAACCGTGCGTGTTCCCCGAGACGGTGTTCTCGGTCAGCTCCGGCGGAGGGCCGTGGTACTTGTCTTCGTGCGGCGCAGGCTTGCGGGGATGCAAGTCCTCGTGCTCGTCGTGGTTTTCCGGCTCCGTCGGCTTCGCGATCAGCAGGCCCGCGTGCTCGCCGACTGTAAACGTAACGTTTGTCAGTGGGAATTCCGGTAGGTTTTATGGGGTTTGTGTAACAGTTTTAGTGGAGTTGAGTTGGAATGGCTATGCGTGGATGATAAATTTAGGGGATTTGGTGGTTTTTGTCTCGAGAATCCGCAAAGGGTTAGAAATGGTTGTCGAACAAGATATTTCTGGAGTTTACAATTTTTCAATAGAGTGAAGTTGTGTGGAATGTCATTTGGTTGCGAACGAAAGGAAATTATGAGGTAGACAGTGAAATATATTCGAGAGTATACTTAAAGAAATTTGGAAAGGGTCGCAGTAAGATATCACGTTAGACAGTGTTGGCTCGTTAGACGGTGTAGCATGAAATATGTGGCTCGCCCAGTGGTTTGGTAATTAGAAAATATTGCTATATATTTGAGAATTAATTTACTTATTGATCATTTCGATATTTGTCAACTTTGAGGACGAAGTACCTTGAAGTACAGGAAACGTTTAGCAGAAGAAGCTAAATTATATATCGATTGCTTAGATAACTGAGAAAAGGGAACTACGAACTGGCTTCTTGTTATTCGAGTAATTAAATCACCTGTTTGTGACTTAGCATTCGAAATATGACTGTGCAAGTGAAAACGGCAAAATTATGGAATACAGAATTCGTTATTTTGATTGCTATATATGTGTCGTAATAATAACTTATAGCTTTCGAAACTCTTTTGGAAAGTGCTGTTTTCAGGATTTTAGCGATGAATGTAAATTTTTATGATCTAGGAAATTAAGGATTTCAACGTAACGATGACACAGTCGTTACATAAATGAATAAAAAGTGTTCGTTTATTGGAACGCCATGGGGACACGCACAACTTTTTCTCCTGATCTTCATTAGCGACGGAAGAAAGGAAGTATGTATTCCGCCGCGTAGGCCATCAAACCGACGAAAAAACTCATTCGGTGAAAGCTAGTTACGTAAAAGTTTCGATCTATTCCGAGATTTAGCCAACGGCGAAGGTGCATTAAGGAATCATTTCGAATTTTTAGAGCGACAGGAAGATCCCGCGGAATGATATTAGCATAAATGAAAGAGATCGCGAGTTGAAAGGAAATCTGGCAGCGAGCGGGATGACATTCACTCTGGGTCGTATGCGTAAAAGAGTAAAGGTCTCTCAATTTAATTTCTCAATCGTGAGAAATTTGGGAGTGTGGAATTATACAAAATGCACACGGGACAAGAAAATACATAATATATAACTTGGAAAATCACAAGTGCATTGAGGAGCAAAGCTATTTTACTCCCGTGTTTTACGTATCAAGCCATTTCACCGCGTTAATAAGACGCACCACAACCTTCCCGAGAAACAGGGACATAACTCCGCCATTTTTAAATATTTTGAAAAACAAAAAATACGTTGTAACAGAGAAAGAATATAATAAATGATAACCATAGTTTCAAAAATGTGAAACAATCCTTTCCTTTTCAAAAAAATTCATAAAGATCAGCTCGTTTTCATCCGTCTAAAGGTATTTCCCCCCTTAAATCAAATGATCACTGAAAATCACCTCCCGAGTGCAAAGGGTTAATATTTTTAATAAATTCCAAGTGTTTCGGTAAACTTAAAAATTCGAAAATTCAAAACTTCGGTAAACGCTGTCGAAAAAGTCTCTAAAATCTCAAAAAATCCCTCGTGAAAGCTGATACTTTCTTCTTCGCACACGACCCTGTAACGGAGTGAACCTTTTCCATGAATGAATCACCGAATGACGATCGCTAGCATGGTTCAGGATGCCACTGTGGAATTCCGAGCTGTCTCTGCCGGCCCCACTCAATCGCCATGACACACAGAGGAAAGTTCCGGAGATTAGAATCTCGTTTGAAAGCGAAGACTGCTCTTACTTTCTTTATTTCAAAACGTACAACCGATCCCTGCAGGATCCGGCGCCTCTCACCCAATTTTTTTCTTTCTTATAGACACACACCGAATGCATTGCACACTCTAAACGAGAGCTGTCTTTATTTTCTTATGTGCCTCATGGTAACAATATACAGTGTGTGACAAGAACAACCAATCAGTCGAACGTTTAGGAAAAAGGTTATACCAAAGTGTAGGTCTACTTTCCAGCAACAAGAGCAACATGCATTTAGGCGTTTCATATTGGAATATATGATAAGATTAATGGTCGTGAATTATTTCTTGTTAAATTAAATGACTGATTTTTTGAATTAATTAAGAAGAGTTAAAATTATAAATACATACGATTGACAAAATGCTACTGAAATTTCTATAATTATTAATATGTTTTGAATAATAATTGTAAATGGAACTATCGAAAATATACTTTCGATGAATGATCATCTATCTGCTGTTGAATTAAATGGTTGACTTTTTTAATTAATTAGGTTCAAACGTAAAGGAGTTATATTTGTAAATACATACGATTGACTAAATGCTATTGAAATTTCTATAATTAATATATTTTGAATAATAATTATAAATGGAACTATCGAAAATATATTTTCTATTGAACATTCTAATAACGATAAAAGTAAAAACGCAGGCAATGCGGTGAACGTATGTTAAAAAAAGAAACCCGAATTACATTTAGAAGTTAATGTAACGATCATTTCGTAATAACATGCTTGCCAATGCATCGAGAAAAGTGCGTAGGAAGTAATTCACGTGTTTCCTCATTTTAGATTTCTTACACCTCTCATTACACCAGATTACTCGCATGCTTCGAATTTTTCAACGATTAGAATTTTACATATTTTTACAGATACTACACCCATCGCATTTTCTTGCAAATAATTTCCAACAACTTCCGTTTTCTGCATTATCTCGGACAATAAAACAATCCCCTATTAATCAGCAACTTTCTGAAATGATTTCTTCTAACGATTCAACGCAGACTCGAACGTTTGCCTTTCCTTTTAAGTGAAAAATGTTCCCCCGTGTGAAAAAGTGAAACACGAACGTTTCCTTTAATTAACTTCAATATTGATTTGACAAAATGTCGAAAAAGGTCTGTTTCAACGTTGAAAGCTTCGGTGTTTTTACTTTGGCGCATAGTGTAACGATCACCGTGGGTTCCCGGAAATTGGGCGTGGTTATAAAGTTCGAAGGAGTCAGTGGCAGCGTGTAGGGTTATCCTTAGGCTAAGTAATGCTAAGCAGGAACCGTAATGATAGAAAGTCTTACCGTCCGATGACGATTCGTAATTCGAATTTGCGTGGTAACCATCGGTTGGCTCGCTGTACTCCTCGATAGAAGGCGGAGGTCCGTCATAGCTTTCCTCGTGACCTACCGTTTTATGGCGAAATTAGGTCAAAAGTATGGAAAAGCGACACTGTTAGTGAAGCAAATATTTCTGTGCTTTCGAATGCAATATATTTAAAGGTAACTCGATATATTTGAACAATTAGCTAGCATTTCTCCTGAAAAGTCTTATTTACTTAAAGGAAATATAAAGTAAATATAAAAATATTTATCTCGAATTTAAGACTATTTCAGTTTCATTCCACTTTTGTATCAATGAACCTTTTGATTTATTCGAAAGCTTTCTTAGTTGCTAATTTTTATAAGATAATTTACATTTCTTAATGTTGCAACGATACATGCAGTTGCACGAGTTCATGCTGTATGCGACTCTCAATTAGAACTTCCTAGAAAGCACATCATGAGGTGAGTTTAATTTATTCAGAACAAATATAATTAACGATTCCCAGATTATTATATACTTTTACGACTATTTATATAATACTCTCAAGTGTCGAAAGTAGCGTTAACATACAAATGTTTATTCTACGCTATAAACACAAAATTTCATTTTCCCCTAAAGAAACGAATATTTTTAATAAACCAGGAAATGAAAGAAATGCGATATGGTGAAATTATTTGCTAGCCCAATAGTACATTTTTTAAATAACCATATGTAACTTACGACTCTCATTAATGTTACACGGATAAATGAAAAATTTAGTTTAAATATAACCACAAACCTTATAATGATAAATTAGAAAATTCTTTTTAAACAACTATAATATACGTCTCATCATTAATGTTACATTAATAGAGATATATTATTGTTATTTAAAAAAAAGTCTTTTAATATCTCTCGACAGTGTTATACCTACTGACAAGTTAGAAAGCTTCTGTTTAAACAACTGCAATATGGCTCTCGTTAATGATTACACCAACTCAGAAAAGCAAACAACGAATAGTCCATAACAAATTCTCTGTAAAACTTACCACCTTCTGGAGGATGTTCGTAAGCATAACTAGTGTGCGATGGTTCCGGTGGGTGCACAGCGTTCTTCGCGATATTACGTCCCAAAGACGTGATCGCGTCGCCCGTCGACGAAATAATTTTGCCCTTCGTCGAAACGAGGTAACCGCTCCCCTTGATAAGCTGACCTTTCAAAGCAATCACACCGCCACTTATGGCTTTTACCGCCTGCATTAATGTGCTAATGATTGCCTTTTTGAAGTCCCAAACGTCGAACTCCTTATGCCCGTACTACCATAGAAAAATTCCATTAAACTAAGACTAAACGCGCATCGCCAAGTCGATCAGAAATGCAATAGAATCGTTGCTTTATTGAATATTGTAGATTGCTTGGTACAGCATTGATTATTATAAAACAGCCTCTATTCTAACAGAACGAAATGCTTATATCATAGTGACAACGTGCAATCTTCCTTCATCTTTTTCGCATAGCCGATATACGTTCGCCATCGATAGCGATCACGCCCGCAAAAGATTCTCCTTCGATCCTTGCAGCATTCTCTTTTCGAATTTCAGTCTTGTAATTTGATCATCGTGAAAATCCCTCCGTCGTGGAGCTGAGTTTTAATTACGAATACATTCGAGTCGATGCGACACGTTGGTAATTCTCGTCTGAATGGATCGAACGATCGTCAATTGTACAAGAGAATTCGTATCATCGAACTGTTACCGGTCGAGCGATGTTTTCCGCTTGCGTTTTGCGGGAACAATTATTTTCTGACGGAAAACCGAGTCACGGACGTTCGAAAGCCGATCGAGTAAGGGCCGATGATGAGAACCAGCTGAGATTTCCCTCCATAACAGCGACCTCGACGACCCAGATCGCGATTTTCTTCCGTGCGGTATATATATCGAGATAACTTCTCTAAGTCTAGTACAATTCTACTCTATGCTGCTATTCTAAAAAAAGAAAGTATCCGTGCATCGTTTGATTTTCATTTGACACTTCTCTCTCGAGGAAGTTAACCCTTTGAACCCTGTAGGCTCTAATATTGCACCAATTATAATATTAGATATTTTAATGAATCTTGAAACTACCCTAAAATTATTCGATTTTCCACATCGAAATTTTGTACTAACAAGGAAAATAAAAGATCGAAGAAATTTTATAACATTTCTAATTTTCGCTAGGAATACTATAAAAATTAGTTGCAGTTAATTAAAATCCTTTGAAGAAATACACCCTTCTGATATTGATAAGAAATTATGAATAATTCAATTGAATGCTTTGGTAGTTCCAATTTTAACCCTTTGAACTCTGTAGGCTCCAATATTGCACCAGTTATAATAGCAAATATTTTAATGAATCTTGAAACTACCCTAAAATTATTCGATTTTCCACATCCAAATTTTGTACTAAGGAAAATAAAAGATCGAAGAAATTTTATAACATTTCTCATTTTCGCGAGAAATACTATAAAAATTAGTTGCAGTTGCTGATAGAGTACAAACCTATTTGGAGTGCTAAGGGTTAACTCTTCACCACTCGATTGGTGCATCAGAATTGTAAAATTTCGTATTTAACATTAAGTCTCGAGTGATCGATACGTGAAATGTGGAAATAAAATAGCATTGTTCCCCTTATTTCGTGAATAGATCCCTCTTTAAGTTAGTTTAAAGAAATGTCATCTATATCTCATAAAAATAAATCGAATATTTCCAGTGTCAAATTTCTGGAGTGCAAAGGGTTAATACTGTCGTGTTCAAAATTCTACGCGAATCGCAGTAATTCCTGCTCGAACTGATTCCGACTCGCGTCTCGAATGGAGCACTCGAAAACCGTGCGTTATAATCTCAGCCACTTTTCAAGTCAACCAGCCGACTTTCACTAGCGGGGACTTCCTAAAAACTGCGAATGGTAGAAACGCGCGATGCAGACTCAATTCGAAAACGGTACCGACATTCTACCGCGCGCCGCTCGTTTCCGTGTTCCGGCCAATTGAGGATTAATTTATTCGGAAATAATCGCCGATGGAACGCAAGCTTTTACCTGCGCCGCGCCGCGCAACCAGAAATTCAACGCGGCGTGGAACGTGAGAGCGATTCGTCTCGCCGCGCCGATCCCCCTTCAGCCAATTACCGATTCATCGGCGGATCCAACGGATTTTTCAGTTTCAACGATTTTCGACCGAACGAAATACAATTCGATTGGAATTCGATTGAATCGAATGAATATTTGTTGGTATTTACTCGACTTCGAATCGGTTTTGAATGAATTCGATTTTTATGGTTAAAGAGACTTATATGGGGTTTAAGGACGATGGAGCAAGATCTCTTAACGGTCTGATTTTTTTAACAATTATGAATATACGGTTCATGTAATTTTAATGAGAATTTTAACACTTTACTTACTTGGAGATTAACACTAGAACTACCGAGTATTTAATACGATTAATATGGACTTCCTATAAAATTGTAACAATAGATTATTTTCAGTTTCTTTTTAAAATCATTTCGAACATTTAATGCTTCGGAGATATTAATAATTGCTAAAGAAAAAAATTAAAACCAGTCATTTTGACTGGTACGGTAGTTCTAGTGTTAATTGGTACCTGTACTGTACTTTATCAAAAAAGATAATACTGCGCAAAATTATTCGACTACATTTTTCAGTAGAAAATTCATCACCTTGATAAACATGTTATTTTAGCTAAGAAAATTTCTAATCGAACTAGCAGCAGATAATTAATCACTTTGTCCATAATGGACACAAAAACCAAGATTACCTCAAAACTCCAACGCGCCGATTCCACGTCCCCAAAATTGATAAACCAGTATCATAATCGCGTCAACCCCAAATATGGATACAACCACTAAAGTAAGTAAAGCATTGGTCTCAGAACAGCATATAGAAACTCCGAAAACTGCTGAACCCCGTCTAACAATATCCTGGATCCGCCGCTGTTAGAAAGTAAGGTGGAGTCACCAGTAATTGACCTGATATAATGAATAGATATGCTGCAGCACCTACCGACAACACTTTTACCTGAATTAGACTGTGCATCGTGAAAACCAACAATTTCTTTCATTAACGTTGCTTGTCTTTCTCTAGTTTCCAACGTGGAATTTGAACTTCTCATTTCTATTTGTCCTTTTGCTCGTGATCCCTCGTAATCGTTAAATAAACGATATTAAAGCAATCACTTTTACTGTTTTTGGTTTCACTATAAAGAAGCGGTCAATTGCCAACTATGCAACAGACGTTCAACTAATAATTTCCTCGTTTCAATAACATAACTATTCCAAAAGAGCTCAAACAGCATTTCTTAAAGTCTCTCCATTTAACCAGTTAACTGACGAGTATACACGTCACATTAAAATCTGATGCTGATTCCTTCAACGATAATCGGTTCTAATCAAATTTAATATTTTCTAAATGCTGCGGTAATTAGAAAGGGTACGTAGTTAAGTGTCTTTATATAAAAACGAGATTTCCTGTTATCAGTATGCAATGTGTTAACACATTGCGTACCGGCTTTCAGAAAACTGAATCGTGCAGATGGCAATTTTCACTGAGGTCAACTTATATCACCGTACACAGAAAAGCTCAGATATCATATTGTTATGTAATATATTTTAAATAGATAATCAATTCGAATTAAACTTTATATTTCTTCAACGTGGTAATTAGCGAAGTTGCATAGCTAAGTGTCTTTACATAAAAACGAGACTTCCCGTTGCCAGTACTTAATGTGTTAAGATAACGTCTATACTCGAACGCAATTAACTACAAAATTTGACACTCAACGTGTCAATTTTCAAGCGTGCCATCACTCTAAATCATTCCTCAACAGATCAACCACCGATACCTCCACCGTACACGAGTCGAGCCCTCGATTACCGCGTCGCGTGCGCTTCGTTACTCTGTCGAATAATTACATAATTACCGGGTAAGCGGGTCCGTAGTGTCCGTAGTGTCCGTACGCCGGTCTTTTCTGCTCGGTCGATGAGGACGAGCTCGACGAGGATGCTTGAGCGGAGCTGGTCGCGGACACCGACGACGATCCCTTCGACGCGCTGCCGGACGCGCTGACGAGCCCGCCGATCAATCCTTTCGCTATGCCGCTGATCAGACTGGTAGATCCTTTGATGATCCCTCCTGAGTCGGATCCGGCAGGCTGGTCCCCGTAGTACTCTCCGCCGTAATGCTCGTGCGCGTATCCTCCGTATCCCTCGGGCGGATGCTCCGCTTCCGGTGGTCCCTCGTACTCCGAGTAAGTGTAGCCGTCGCGCTTGGTCCCGTGGTCAGCTTCCGGCGGCTTGTGCTCGCTGTAAGCGTGTCCGTCGCGTTTCGCCCCGTAGCCGCCGTCCGCGCCCGATCTTTTTATCCTCTCCTGCATCAGCGCCATGTATTTCGGGTCGGCCAGCAACTCCATCACCGCCACTTGACCCCTCCTGACGATGTCCTCCTGCAGGTCCTCCGGCAGGACTCGGTAGATCTCCAGAGCCACGCGACGCTCGTCCAGGTTCGCGTTCTCCGGAGCCCTCGCCGGCTCGAGCGACTGCCATTGGTCGGTGGACGCGCCTTCGCTGGACGACCTACGGTACGGCGCCAAACGCTCCAGCTGCGCCGACGCTCGCGACAGCAGGTCCTGCTCAGCCGACTCCGCCGCCTGCGATGCTTCGGCCAGGGCCAGGCAACAGGCCAGCGCGAGCAGCTGCGGACACTGAAACGTGGAGATGGGTCAGTGCCTGGCTGGCGAACGCTCGTGCAATGAAACGGCCGGATTTGGGAGAGGAGTTTGAGTGCTCTGGAGATGGGGTGATGGAATGAGAGATTGTAGTTCGGAGTGGAATTTGATTGAAGGATGATTTTGGGAATGAAGGGAAATTGGGTTGAGATGTTTTTGTTTCAATGGGTTGTGGGAAGTATGGAGATGTTAAGTTTGCTTGAAATTTGAGAAGAAGACACCTCGTTTGTGCTTAGAATTAACCCTTTGCGGACGATGGTTGGATTGCTCTGACGTGGAGATGGCAATGATTGGAATGCGATGGAGATTGTAATTGGGAGTGGAATTTGATTGAAGTAGGACTTTGGGGATTGTAAATGGGAATTGGGTTGAGATATTTTTGTTTTAATGGGTTGTGGGAAGTATGGAGGTGTTGTTTTAAGTTTGTTTGAAGTTTGAGAAGTATACACTTCGTCTGTGTATGGAATTAACCCTTTGCGAACGAAGGTTTTTAGGAATGTACAAAACCTTCAACAGACGGAACTAAACGATTCAATCGCTTAATCGATAGAAAGAAGGAAACTGTACAGATCTCTAGATGTTCGAGTAATTAACTCACTCGTTTGCGGCTTGGTCTTCCAAATATGAACAAAATGTCGACAGTCGTCCGCAAAGTATCGTTAATATGTGGGGCAATTACAAGTGAGAGGGGCTGGTCTCATTTGCACTGTCAAATGTCTAGATTTTCAATTGTTTTCGGTAGTACACTGAATCTTGCACGCAATGTGTTAATAATAATATTTTTGCAGTGAATTCTTTCCCTTTTCAGTATGTAGCATGTCCTACTCTGATTAAAGAATTGGAGATATTTAATAAACATCAAAGAATAACAACATATTTCTTTTAACGAAGAAATTTCGCAGATCCTTAAGTATAATAGGTTTGTAGGGAACTGTCGCATGCGAGTAAGTGGTATGAGTATATTTGTGCGCAATAAGTTAGCCACGGCGAAATGTTGTAACATATCCGTGAATTTATAAATCAGTCGGGCGTAGAGCATAGGAACGTAGAATGCAGCAAGTGGAGCGGTTCTTGGTGAAAGTCACACGAGGACGCGCGTCGTAGGGTTCCGCTTTAGAAGATGTCCATGTATGTGACCGCAACAAACGGCGATGTTGACAGAAAATTGCTGGTTTCACGGAGTAATATAGAAAGAAAAAGAAAAGAAGAAATTGGTGCCGGCAAAACGACGGAATACATCTGCGTGTACTGAAAGTTTATAAAAATGTCCTTCCTCTCTTATTATAAAATGAAATTCAACGACTCGTTCTGTGTTAAAGGTTTCTCGCTGATTGCGATCTTAATAGCGCCCGCTCGGTTTAACGCGGAAAAACTAGTTTTCTCACGTTCGAAGATTAGTTAACTACCTTTCGAATCATTCATCTTACTATAATTAAGAACAATGCAATTATTAGGGTAATAATTAATTTATTATGTGAAGTTATAGAAATATATTGGAATTTATGAGATTAATATTATAATAATATAATTAATTGTATTATATTATATTGTAATAAAATATTAAGAATATAATAAATATTATATTATAATAAAATAATGAATAATTTATTAATAATATTAATATTATTTATCATCCATGAAAAAAATAACATACTATTGGCTATTTAAATTGTAATGGCTATTTAAATTGCAATAGCTATTTAAACTGTAATTTCCATGGTTATTTAAATTGTAATTTCTGAAAACCCAATGGTCACTACTGTTTACTATGACGAGTATACTCGTCATGACACAAAATCCTGCAACTTCTCTATGAATATACCCGTGAAACGCAGTTAACCGGTTAATCAACGTTTCATTGGAAAACCACGAATACACGCGGCGAAGAAAGGAGTTTCGGATGCAAACTGTTAATTGGTCCTGCGGTTCCCTGTGCTTTCGGTTTCATTACTGTGGCATAACGTTCATCAGCCGCGACGCGACAATGACTGCTCTTGTGTGAACGCGAAGGGAAACCTCAGCCAACGTCGCCTGAAAAAATGATCGAACAATTTCCCGTGTGATGCGGCGGGCGAGTTTCGTCATGCGCTTTCCGTGAAAGAACCGAGAGTAGTAACACCATCGTAAATGACTTTCGCTTCGGCAACTGCGACTCGAGATGAAAGGAGTCGAGAGCGAACGAAATTGTTGCTTTTGCACGATTAGATTGGTTGGTCGCGCGGAAATTTAGATCATTCGTCGTTTCCATTTAAATGATCGTTCCGCGGATGATTGAGTGTCATTTGCGTTCGTACTCGGGGCGTGGAGGTCGATCGGAAATATCTTCAGCAATTATAACTTCTATGATGGAGGAATTTAGAGACCTGCTCCATTTTGTTATGAAAGATCTACTGTCAACGCATAATTTCCAAGATTTTTTAGCAATTATTTATATCTTCGAATTGAATATTCGAAATGATTTTGAAAATAGCTTCATTTGCGTACTATGATGAATGTCTGAAGAAACTGAAAATAATCTATTGTTACAATTTTTATGGGAATTGCATATTAATCGTATTAAATGCTCAGTAGTTCTAGTGTTAATAGAATATATTATTCTATTTTCATCATCTATTCAACCATTCTAGTTTCGTCTAACGATCTCGTTATTTTATCAATCTTTCTGCTTATCTCGGGTTTATTCGATATTTAATGAAATTCTTATTTTATTATGAAGGACTCATTATAATAATTCTGTTATTTTATTAACTCCTTCATATTTATCTCGAGTTTATTCGATCCTTGATGTTTAATTTTGGTGATGCGATATCTATGCGGAAATAAATTTCGGACGCTAGAACGCTTGATAAGATAATGTAGGAAAGCACGGAGAGGTAGAGATAAGAGGACAGAAGAATAGCTAAGAGAACTAAAGCGAAAGAGAAAGGAAAACGAGGAAGGAGTTGCAACAAGGTAGAAAGTAAAAGTTAAACCAAAGATAAGATTAAGGTAGTATTCAAGAGGAACATCTGTTGCCTTTACAATAATTTCAAAAAGAAGAAATCGAGAATTGTGCCCAGACCCATTCACTCTTTCCTTTCATTCATTCCATTCGTTACTTACCCTATCTATATTCTACTGTGCAACCGAAAATAAGAAAAAATATATATATAATATTTTTAATTTATCCTTAATACTACAACCACCAGACAAGTTGAAACGACGTATTCCTGATTTATTCTTTTTGCAATGATTAACCCTTTGCACTCTGTAGGCTCCAATATTGCACCAGTTATAATATCAAATATTTTAATGAATCAAGAAACTACCTTAAAATTATTATATTCTCCACGCATCGAAATTTTCTACTGAGAAGGAAAATAAAAGATCGAAGCATTTATTATTTAACAGATCGAGAAATTAACCATTCCTCATTTTCACTAGAGATATAAAAATTAGTTGCAGTTGCTGATAAATTACAAAACCATCTGGAGTGATGAGGGTTACAACGGTTATTTCTCTGAGAAGTTATTAAAGAAATTTGGCATCATTTCGAATGATCCGAAAACCGATCAGAATCGACACTCCGATTAACAATTATACTCGTACTTCGGTTCTTCGTAATTATTTCAACTCACTGAAACCCCTCGACCCCTCGATTCCTGTCGGAACTCGAAACTCAAGTGACAACGGTTCGAACGAAACCAGAAGTGTCGGTGACCGGCGAGTTTTATTGTTTCCGCGGCGTTTTCGGTTAACCGCCGATTCAGCTGAGAATATTTCCTACAACGGACGAAAGTGACCGGCGCGTCCTTGGTCTTGCACTTGGTACAGTCGACGTTTAACCCAGTTTCTGCCGTACGCTCCGGCTTGAGGCGTTCGAACGTGCACGGTCGCCGCGATTTCTAAAAAACAGCGAAGAAACCGGTGCCACGTACTTGTACGAGTAGATACCAGCCCAAGGCCCAAGCGTTGGGTCCTTTCGACACTGGTGAAACGTATTGGTCTAGTGAAAGAACCGCGGATCACTTCCGGTTTGTGGACCGATCCGAAAATCAGCGGCGAACGCGACGCGCGCCACTTTCTTCGCGCTTCAAGACGTTGATCACGAGAATTTTGAATTAATTATTAATTAAATCTTGTTTTTATAAAGACACTTAGCTATGCGACTTCGCTAATTACCACAGCATTGAAGAAAATATAAAATTTGATTCGAATTGATTATCTATTTGAAATATATTACATAACAATATATCTGAGTTTTTCTATGTATAGTGATATAAGTTGACGTCAGTGAAAATTGCTATCAATTCAGTTTTCTGAAAATTAGCCGGTACGCAATGTGTTAATCGGTTTATATTATAGCTCTTGTGTTACACTCTTGTGTTATTTCATTAATTATGTAATTAGATATTTTGATTAGGTATCAGTTTTCTTCTTGTAATTGTTTTCAAACGATTTGGAAGTTCCGGTCTCCGGTGACCAGCGGTCAATATGTTAACATTAGCTTCTAACGCTAGAACTACCAAGTAGGCGAGCGGACTGTTGGGAATTCTCATATGCAAATTACAAGAGTACATTCATTGAAATTTCGATTTACTTATATTTTAGTTTATGCATTGCTGAAAAAATTTATTTCGTAATTCCCCGGAGAATCATTTGTATCTAACAATACTAGAAGAAGAAATCCAAAATGGATCAGTTTGACAATTGACCTGTTATTAAACTCTTGTTCTATGAATTCTTTCAAGTGAAACTATTATCTCTGAAAATAATCTCAAATATTCAGCACCTCGATGATATCAATGGTAACATAAGAAACCTAAAATCAATGATTCCCGATGCTACGATCGAAAGTACCAAAGACACATAAACTACACCTAAACAGCAGAGCAAACAGACTAAAAGAGCGGCTCGTTTGCAAAATCGGCGTCCGGCGAATGAAAATTCCGCGCAAACAGGAGTCCCGAAAGATGCAATTTGCATTAGGCAAATGACCGCTTGCGCGGACAATGATCCTCGTTTGCACTTTTACATTCCCACTGCTGTGAAGATCAAGGAGATTCATAGCGCGAATTTCTCCATTGTGGTGTGCGGAAGGTGTGAGCGACGATGAACGTGTTTTACTTTCACGTGGGTGTTGAACTTAACGATTCTCGATCGGACCACGACCAGCGAAACCGTCGTGTAAAATCGACTGAACACCGAACCTCGCTTCAGATCTCCATTAAACCTGCCGCACACGAGGGAACGACGGAAGAATTAACGAGCGACGACGCGGAGAAGTTAATTGGGAATTAACGGACGACGCCGGGCTAAACAGAGAAACGGAATGTCGGGGAATGAACAACACTTCACCACACATGGTGCAGCAGGAATTCTGAGCACAATGATCTTGGGACGCGTACCTTCATCGTTGACTTTCACGGTAGATCGGTAAAAGGATCACGGCACTCTCACTGAACTCACTGGCCATCACCATCGAGTATTTCCTCTCTTTATACCAACTCCCACCTTTTTCGAGCCACGGAGAACGTTGCCCGGCTGCGGGATTTTTTTTTTCCAAAATTCGGATCGCCGCTTCTCGTCGATCTGGTTTCCCGTGTCGTCGTTATTGTTTTATGTTGAGCGATCAATTGATTTATATTAAGCACGATAAAAAGGTTACACTGAGTAAGTTGTGAGAATTTATTACGGAAAATGGTGATTATTAATCGTTCGGAACTGTCAACGGTAAATCTAGTAATCTCTAATACGCTTCAGGCTGGTTAAGATTGGAGAAATATCACGGCTATTACTGTGAATGTGTAATTTGGAATAAATCAGAATTCCGTTGGAGGATAAAGTGACTGGGAATAAATTGTATAAATTAATAAGCTGGCGTCGGAAAAGTGATTAAGTGTAGATAAGTAACATTAAATATTCGCGTGAGATATTACAAATAAATTCTAAGTTACTGTATATAAACAAATGTATAATATTTAACGTAAAGAAAAAAAGAATGCAAATTCTAATATAATAGAATTGTTTAACATTAAAAGTACCAATCATTTTATTTTTAATATGACTGGTTTATAGTATCTTATAAAAATTACAAGAATACGTTTATTGAAATTTTTTGTAATTTTTCTTACGATATTTACACGAGTAAATGATACATTTTACATTTTCTCAGCAAAGTATCTTTATAGTTTTAGTAATCTTGAATTAAGAAGTCATTAATGGTTCATTTTCAAAGGTAATTAACGATCTTTGCTCCAAATCGTTCAATTTTCTTTCAAGTGTAACAAGTCTGAAATATAGTAATTGCCAATCGTGTCATCGGCGTACTTTCTTCGATTGTCACTGATCATCGATAACGGTAACCGAGACAAAAATTTACGATGCAACTTGTGCATGAACGCCGGTACATGCATACATAAATGCATACTAAAATATGTGTAGTCGCTGGGCGAGGAAAGAGTAGAAGGAAGACGCTTCCTTTTAGTCGGACTGTTTAAGTCTGAGCACGCTAATGAAAGCAACCCAGTAAAATGTTGATATATCCGACAGAATAACGAGTAGCTGGTTTTTACTTGATTCTCATTGAGCTGCACGATATTTTTGATATGCTCGTTGCGTTGCTTAAATAGATTTCGAGTTGCAATATTTAGCAATAATCGCGGTTTGTAAATACCTTTAAACCTGCATATTAGAAATAGTATTTGTAAATTTGTAGTAGATGAATTTTTGTATTTGTGGATTAGAAATAGATGAATTTTTGTATTTGTAGATTTGAAGTAGATGAATTATAGTATTTGTAGATTTGAAGCACATGCATTTTAGTATTTGTAGATTTGAAGTAGATGAATTTTAGTGTTTGTAGATTAGAAGTAGACGAATTTTTGTATTTGTGGATTTGAAGTAGATGAATTTTAGTGTCCTTAGATTAGAAATAACAATTAACTAACTAGTAATTAATTATTTAATGAACGATGTTTACAAGTCAAATTAATAGTAAATTGTAATTGTAATTAAGTTGGGGTATCGCTCTATTTCCTTTCAATACTCTCCTTCAAAAGTTAGAAGCTTCGGATTTCTCGCAGCAACTTTATACCCACAAAACTCAATCCGTCTCTCACGAGACGGAATAAAACGAATCGCCTATATCTATCTGCAAGAGTGACTTTTCACGCACAAGACGAATAACATGTGTTTTTATTTTAACTTTCATTTTATGCTACCAAACAGAACACGATACACGTGGCATTAAATAAAATCGCTTTTACTTCTCCCAACAAAGTAGTACGCATAACACATACGTAACAAATTTTCAAAATTAATCCCTCCACAAACAAACACTCAGTACAAACTTTGAATATTTCATTATATAGATTGAAGATCTAATAATCTTAAGGTAGTTTCTTTAAGATCCATTAAAATATTCAATATTAGAACTGGTGCAATATTGGAGCCTACAGAGTTCAAAGAGTTAAATATTTGAATGAACCTTACAGAAACTGCCCTAAAATTATTCGATTTTCACATCCAAATTGTCTACTAACAAAGAAAATAAAAGATCGAAGGAACGTTATAGCATTTTTCATTTTCACTAGAGATACTATAAAAATTCGCTGCAGTTACCGATAAATTACAAAACCATGTGGAGTGACGAGGGTTAAAGTTCTGCCCCGAGGAGAGTGAATAGAAAGCTTGCGAATCAAAAAAATCCTGCTATCGTGTGTACCCGGCTCTACATGTTCGCAGTGAATGAATACTTTTGCATCGCGCAGCATGAAAGTCGCATTTTCTGTTCTACAAAGTAGTAGTTTGATTATAGCGAGCGGCACGACGTATCGTAAGTAATGCAATCCGACGAATTCGATTCTCGTTTCCTGGCTACGTTCTATTCCGCGATCGTACCGTATTCTTTCGCATCGATCATCGTTTCTGCCACGGTTACTTTTTATGCAAGACTTAACGAGAATCTAGTCGACCAGCAAGCTTTAATCTTGCAGATAATTCGTGTAATTAGTATACTGATAATCAGGGATTTTTGTGTGCCCGATCACTTTCCGCATTTGAAATTGTATACACTAAAGTATGCTCATTAGGTTTCGGAATCAATATAAATATTTAATACCAGTTTAACACTAGAAAATGACACTATGAAAAATATCTCACTGTTTGATGTTAAACTGCAAAATATACTTCTCGAGCATTAACACTATCTGACAAAAGTATAAAATCACGTGTGAATTCACGTTAAACGAATTCTGTGTAATTAATTTAAATCTCTTGTATGGTCTTCAGATTTTCTATATGTAATTTTACTACTTGAATGTACTCATATTTTGCAGTTTAATATCAAACAGAATTACTTTTCATTATTTATTTCTATAATTTCTACAAACCTTCTAAAAACGTCCGATTCAGCCTATCAATATGCCGTTGTTAATATCCATCTTGTATTTTTGTGCAGTCTTATTTGAACGAGTTCTTATTGATCGCATTAGAAACCGGTAAGGAGATAAAATCGGAAATTCCTATGGTTCTTTACATTAATTTACATCAATTAATATACCAACGTTGAATATCATTATTCCGTTATTTCAACGAGTTCTTATCGATTACATCGGGAACAGTTACAGGAAATGAAATAAGTAATTCCTACAATTTTTTACGTCGATCTATAATACTAACATAAAAGTTAATCCTCACTTCGCTATCTCTCCAAATAGTTTGGTGCAAGTATTACAGTAAATTTTCCAGTATAGTAAACATACCGCACAGTTGCTATTTTCGAATTAGCACAGCCGACTATAGTTTCGCGGTTGCCGCCCCTTGACATTACGCTCCTCTTAGCGGCATTAACGTAACACGGAATGACAGAGAACGAACTATTTTCAAACGAGAGAAATCGTTATACATTGATGCGGCGCCGCAAGTTTCAAACGAAGCGAGGAAAAATAAGAGGGCACGTGAAAGGCGTAGCTTTAGAGTGATGTTCGCCGTCGATAAAAATAAAGGTCTTAGAGAAAACTATAAAAGCTGAAGGTATGCGTCAAAAACCAAGTGTGTCTACTGCTGCAGAAAACTGTGGATTGCGTTAGATATACTGTGGACGAAATTCTTTCAAATTCCAAATTTCTGCGATAATAGATTTATTGAAAATTTATTGAAATAGTTTCATTGGAAGGTGAAAGATGCAAAAGTATAATAGGTGTAGAAATTGCTAAATTTAGTACGATGAATTTGAATCTTCGACCGCTGCTATTGGTAATCAGCAGTGATGATTATCTTCTACAATTCTGATACTAATTATAAATATAATTATTAATTATTATGTTATACTGATATTGTAATTAAATGTTATATTATATTCTACTAATATTGTAATTATATATTATATTATATTCTACTAATATTATAATTATATTTTATATTATATTCTACTAATATTGTAATTATATATTATATTATATTTTACTAATATTATATTATATTATATTATATTATACAGGAACCACATTTCCAAATTCTAGTACCAAAAGGAAAAATTTACTTGCGATCACTTCTCTACGACTTAAATCTGTGTATTACTCGAAATATATACGTTTATTTCCATTTCGTATACATCATACATCAGTATTAATCTTAATATTCAAATAATACGTGTAGATGTTCGAATGAACCATCATAGTCCTACTTTTTCAAGAATTTGTCACCCAGAAATTCAATGTGACAGCAGCAGTTCGCCGGAAATCGGAACGAATCCTGGCTCATCAAGCCATCCGATCCCAACGACAAAAGTTGACGATAGATGTACTTCTGCTTGCACTTTGTCACGTAACCCTCGGCGAATCCCTCGATTACTCTGCACGGTTTGTCTTCTTCTCTGAAAACATTGAAAACGAAATTCGAACTTTATTTGTGCTGCGATGTAGAGGAACTGTTCGAATTAGAGAAAATAATAACAACTTTCGCGACATTTGTAAGATAATTCCAAAGTAGACGTTTCGGTACTTACAAGCATGTCTCGATGCGTACGCTTTGTTTCAACTCTTCGTGATTCACGATGTACTTCCATTGGTTATTTTTAGTGACACCGGATTTGGGAAATACAACTTGTTCCTGGAAATATAACGTTAGAAATGTTGCTTTACGAATCGATATCGTTTCTGCGTCCCTCGTAATTTATTGAATGATCATCCAGTTATAACGATTAAACAAACCCTTCTTGATGGTTATAAAAGATTTTTCTTAGCTCTAAGAATTTGTTATGCAGCAACTAATTTGATATTATTATCTAGATTTATATAAATAAAGAGAACTAACCACAGACACACAGAGCGGCTCTTCTTCGGGCCCTTCCACTCGCGGAGGGGTATCCATCTATTCAGTGACAACATAGAAGATTAAATATAAATATTTCACTAATTTTTACATAATATTTTACATAAATATTTTTACACAAATAAAAAACTGTAACAGGCTAACAAATAATTAGACGGTCTAACGTAGACTTCATTTATCTAGAAAATTTTGTAGAACGGTGAATTACATGTATTATTTATTAATCAATGTAGAAGTATGTATGCGATGTTGACATCTGACTAATATAACAATAAAATATTGTTATTAACAATAAAATATCTACGAACCTCATCGCTGTACCCGTACAATTTAAGGTGAGGATTTTTTGCCAACGCGGCCGCAACCAAGTCTTGCGGATAATGCGGAATAGTTTCGCAGAAAGTTCCTTTCCCGCAAGTTGGGACTGCTGTAGTAATTAATATAATATGGATAATAGTTGCACGAATAAACAAACATTGCAACAGTAAAACTTACATATCGATTTTTATAGAAAATAACTTGAAACTCAACCCTTCGCGGACGAAGATTCTTCGAAATGTACCAAACCTTCAGCAGATGAAGCTAAATTATATATCAATTGTATAATTGATAGAACAAAAGGAAACTGCGCGCTCTCTTGCTGTTCGAGTAATTAAATCATTTTTTGTGCCCTTGTCTTCGAAATATAAAAATTTCATCTCGCCGGAATGCCGACATTCGTCCGCAAAGGGTTGATAGTTGAAGTGTTAATTCATTAACACTAGATTTATGAACGTTTATTCTATACTTTAGAATAAAGTACAATAGAATATTGTTCCTAGATAACTCCATGTTCGTTTATATAAATAACTGTTACTAGATAATGTTTAAAAAGTTCAGTATCCGTGAAATTGGCAGGTTCCGTAAATCTAGTGCTAATCTATCGGAAATCATTGTTTCATTAAACGATACCTCTGAGTAATTCTTCATTGAACTTCAATTGAATTGTCGATTCCTGAGAATACCCATACGATTCAAATATCAGCTGCAAATATTAAAAATTACATAAAACACAATGTCTTCGTCTCTCTCGCTGAGTCATTCAATTCCTTATAGGAACTGATCCTGATGATTATTCTAGAAACAATCTTATAATATTTAAATAAGTAATTAATCGAGAAAATGTTGGAATTACATAAGATTCATAACATGTTCCATTAGATATAACAGTCATTAACCCTTTGCACTCGAGGGGCGCCTTTCAGTCATTTGCTTGACCCAGTAAAATGGTAAAATTAAAAATTCAATATTAAATTATTAAAATGAATTATTATTATTATTTAATGTATCAACATATGTAACGTCGAAATAAAGTAGTTCTGTTAATCTATGCAGAGTATTTCTTGTTGTTGTAAAAAATATAATGAATATTTGTTGAGAAAAATATTCTCGAGTGCAAAGGGTTAATATTACGAAGACTCTCGTTATTCGATTTACACAAATAGAATTATCAATTAAATCTATAAAAACTGAAAACCTCATAGTACACATTTCAATTATCAGCTACTGTTTGAAATTTTTATTGATTGACAAGATCGAGACGGTGATGCTAACTTCTGATTTGGATAGAAATCGGAACGATAAACTTGCTCGGCTAATCTTATCTGTGTGTTCCGTAAATACTTAGTTCATTAAACATATATATCTTTAGAAGCAAATATTATCAATTTAATTATTTGACAGGAGGATAGATTATTGCGACGCATTGATATTGAAAACGGAATAATTGGAAAATTCTTAATCGCCGTACGGTCCGGCGATTTCGTAATTGCATCGAATTTACAAAATTAATTTAATCGAACGTTGTACAAGGGAACGCTGAATGGAATTATTAACGAAAGGAGTGTTTAATTTCTATAAATTTTGAGGATCTCACCAGAAATAACGTTCCTATCATTAACGCCATCGAATTTTTCACCTGCTGGATACTGGTCGGCGACGCAAATTTCATCTTCGTTAGGAATTTCTCGATTAATTTCACTATCGGTTTGAAAATTATTCACGCCGTCAAAAATTCAGTCGCGTCGAAATGTGCAACTTTTGATTTGAGCTCATCTTGAGCGATGTTACTCGCTTCATTTTAGAGGAACAAATGTGTCGAGCCACTTTCGCGACATTTCAACGACTAATCTCATAACTTTATATCAATATCCACGAAGAAATGAAGATTAGACAGATATATGTGTTTCGTACTAACACTTTGCGCTCTTTAACCGAATATTTTGAAATTTCGAAATTTCGATATTTTAATATTTATTTTATTGGAAAACATCTAATTTCACGCATCAGTTAGTCTGTTATTACGTTTGCTATTTTTTTTGTCCTCAGTTCTTATAACTGTAACTTTAATTATCTTATCGATTCATTTTGATAAATTTACAAACAATGTATAATATAATAATATACAATATAATAACAATTATTGAGCTTAATCATTTATGTTACAAATACATTTTATTGGAATCAATTTGTAACTGTAATAAATTTTTATGTTAACTATTGTAATTAAATTTTAATGTACAGTATGTAAAGAAAAAGTCATTCGTAATTAGTAATTATAAAAAGGATGTACGTAGTGTTATAAATTTATTATATTATTTTATATGCATTTATCTTATATTTTCTATAATTATTTATCATACAATTTAAATTAATTTTTGATGTTCTGAAATATCTATTTTGTCATTTTGTTCTTGATAATATTAGTAATAAAAACCTTCTTGAATAAAGAATTTTAATATCTAGTATTATATGAAAAATATATTTAAGAAAGATAATTATTATGATTTATATATATATACTACATAATACTAGTTAAAGTGGTTTGATTTGAAAGCGGGAAAACGAATTTTGAATTTATGAATGTAACTAGATAATAGGTATAAAATATAGGGACAAACAAGCTGCACAGAAAGAGTATTTAATTCTTGAAATTTCCCTATATAACAGCGAGTGCGAGTACAAGACTGAAGTAAACTGTAGTTACGAGCGTCGGATTGCTTCACTTCGGTCGATTTCGCATTGCGTCCAAAGAAAATCAGAAAAATGTCGAAGAGGAATCCAGCGGACGAATATAGAAAAGGTTTTATTCATTTTATTTATTATTGTATCACGTGCATTTGGTAAAATAACATTTACTTTCAACCTTGTTATAATTTCAATATCTTGTCTTCCTGATTTGTTTTCGTTATTGATTTCATGCCTATACTCTTTCCCATAGGAAAGATAAATTTTAAACCCTTAACGTGCAATATCGATACAACACGAACAAATTGTAGGTAAAAATAAACGTTCACTTTTCATTTTATCGTCTGAACTCCGTTTCATACTTCTTGTGTACCGTTTTTCATGTAAAAGCATCCTGCAACCATGTGCCAAAGAATGCATCCTACTAATAAAAACGGAGTAAATGTTAATCTTATATAATAAATCTGTCTAATATGTGTATATATGTATATATACGTATGTATATATATATATACACATATGTATATACATGTATATACACATATGTACATATATGCATATATGTATATACATGTATATTATATACAGTTATTTCTCTTTGACCATTTACTGTATTTACATGAATTTTAATTCAGATGGCTAGGATTATACGGAACTTCTACTAAGCATGCCGCTTAAATATTTCCGGTTAAATAAACAGCGTTGTTTAACTTGATCTGAACTTTGCCAGTGTTTGACGTTGTCAGGGTCAAGTATCTACAGAGCAGAGGACTCCAGGGGGGATGACAGAGGAAGGGATCGTTCTCCACTTAGATCGGATGACCGCGATGCCAGCAGCTATAATCAGAGTGACGCAAAGAAACAAAAGCTGACGTTTGCATTTGGGAAAAAAAGTTCAACAGAACAAAAGAAGGGCATACAGATAAAACTAGGTTCAACTTCTGTGAGTAAATGCAATTTAAATCATTTCTGTGCAACGCAAGAGTATTCAGCTATTATTTAAATTTGTTTTCTTAGAAACCCACTGTAAAAGCAACACCAGTACAAAGGCCAACGGTAGCATCGGTATTTAATGCGGATGAAGATGAAGAACCTGAAGAAATGCCAGCAGAAGCTAGGATGAGAATGCGTAATATTGGGCGAGAAACACCAACCTCAGCAGGACCAAATTCGTTTGGTAAAACAAAGCAAGGCTTTTGTGATTCTAAAAAGATATTTGAGAAAACACTGAAAAAAGCAATGGAGGAAGCTAATAAATGATTTCTTCCTTAATATATTTTTTAATTATTGTTAATTGTATATTAATTTTACATAAAATGCAACAATTAATAGCGAAATTCTTGCTACAATTATATGCAAATATTTTTATCAACTTTGCGCATTTTGTCACCAAAAATTATAACAAACTCTTACTTCACGTTTTACGATCTTGAGATTTAATTAAATATTAGCTGTTTGTTAGCAATAGCTAACACTAAAAATACACTTGAAATGTAACATTTCATTATCGTAAACAAATATACATATGTAATAAAATTGTACCATGTACTTTACTATGTTCATTTCAAGTTGTGTAATAATAAATGAAGAAAGCAACGAGTTGTTTAGAACATATAAGAAAGTAATATAATTTATCTTGTAACTTATACAGTGTATGATACAAATAAAAACAAAGCTCTAATTGATTTTATTATTTTTATTTAAAATTTACATAATAAAATTATTTCCTGTTCTGTTGACCCTGACGAAGATCCTGAAAAAAAATAAACAATCATGAAAACATAGTAGAGGTTGTTTACAGTTAAATACTAAAAAATCTCTGCACACTAAATGCATTGATCATTTTTTAAGTTTTATGTTGCCATAATTACCCTTGGGAAATTGCGAACTGGTGGAGTTCTGATGCGACGGTTTGCTTTAGATCTATTGCGAACCACTTTAGAGTGAATAGCGCAAGAAACACAGTAGTGCAGCTTAGCATATAATTTTGGAAGCTGGTATGCAGAATAGAAGCTAGCTTCGGTTATATCTCTTACTGCAGCTGCTTCTACAATGTTACGAATAACAAACTTCTTGATGGCTTTGTCTTTTGGTACACATCGTGCACAGTTAGTACAGCGAACAGGATTTACATGGCCGCGACCATGCTTGGCACGTCCACCGTTTCTGCGTTTGCAGGTCTAAAAGTAGAAAATAATAACAAATAAGTAGTATACAGACTGAACAAATGTAGTACAAATTAATATTTATACTCGTAAGAATTGAAACGAAAATATTTGTACTTAATTAAGTTAACATATTTTGTTTATATAACAGTAGTTATTGATCACTCGTTAATCGAATACCTTTCAGAAGATTTATTATCTATTAAAATACTACCGGTGACTTTCCTTGTAAAGGTTATGTTCACACATTTACTGTTTTTGGTTATACATAAAATAAGTAAACAAATCTGACTTTTATACATAACAAATGATACATTTTAATATGCTACGCATCACTATGTAAAATAAAATTATATTCTTTGCAGATACAATATGACAACCACATGGCTTCTAATCATTTAACAAGTTAGTTCTTCACAAATATATCGCAAGTACTTCTACATATGTAATGAATATTATCTTTGCATTATATTTCTGATTGAATCAACCGTTATAAAGTAACACCAGGCACAATGTATTAAAGTAAAGAATTTATAAATAATAAATAAAAGACAGTTACCATTCTGTTTCGCTAGACACAGAAGAAGGATCGGAAACAACGTTCAGTAGCAATACATAAAATTGTGAGTCAAATCAGTGTATTTCCGTTTATATAAAAGTACCCCACTTTTAGTATAGAATTTGTGTGGTATACTACGTTTTAATGGTGTATGATTTAATTATTTACAGGAAGCAGTTAATCTGGATATTTGTAAAATTAACGTTTTTACTTTTGTAAAACTTCCATTGCTAACGATTATATGAGGAGGGTAATTCAAAAATTACGAACATTAAATTCTTATTTAAATGAAATATATGACAACTACACGTGATAGAAAATATTTAACTTAGTAAAATTTATATAAAATATAGAAAATTACTTAATTCCGTGTCCATACGAATTAACAGATAAAATAATTAACTCTATTCAAAATCTGTCACCAATTTCTTTTGTTTGAGAAATTTATTCTAATGTATTACAAGTACTCCAATAATAAAGTGGAAATATTAAAAACTTTACTTTTGCAAAATATATATGAATACTTAAAAGTAATCTACTTTTAGAATACTACTAAGTGATATTCTAAAATTGACCTTACTTTCAGTCTGAAAGTAAAGGTAAAAAAATATTAATAAAAACTCGTTAAGGTAATTTCGTCTGCTTTAATATTAGATAAAATTTAAAATGAAATTACACACGTAAATTCCACAGATTAATCATGTCCGAATAATATAGACCAAGTCATCCAAGTCATTAAAATCTACTTAGATAATTATAAGTAGGATGGATAGGATAGGTTAAAAAATGAATATTATAACTATTAGTTTTATAAATAGTTAACATTATTATATTGTTGTTAGTATTTTTAATTATACATCATATATAAAGCATAGTAAGTGCATTAAACGTTTGTGTAAAAATGAACACATATTGATTTCATTTTATACTACAATTAATTGTGACAATTATGCAAAACAATAACGTGAACAGGAAACCTAAATCCCAAATATAGTTTTAAGTTCAAATTTTGTAAAAAAATTAATCGTTTTAAAATTAACAGTACACGCCATATGTCTTTGTCGCCAAATTAAACGTTATTTCGAATTTTAATGTGCAAATGTTTCTTTTATATTAATTCATAATTTTTATGAGTCATAAAAATAATTTCAAATTGCATAAACATTCGAGAATTGAATGATTATCGATAATAAATGTTAATTTCAATTTTATTAATATAGTAAGTTTTGACAAATTTCAGCTACAATTAAAGTTAATTCATATTTTCATGTAGTAAAAGTAAGGAGTTGAAATTATAACGTGTAAACACTGTCAATAATGATACTATAAGACATATTTTATTGAATATTTGAGTATTAGAATATATACACAATCTATTTACACTACGTAAGGTGTTCTAGAATTTCCTGAAGACATTCATATTAAATTATTATTATATATTTTTTTATATTATACTACTTTACCACAAAAAGTTAACGTATTAAATCTATTATTCGTATACCTGGATATAAATACGGAAAAAGAGTATTTTTCATAGTACGATACAATTTCAATTAATTAAATAACAGATTGTAGTTGTTAGTCTTATCTTCATAAATACAGAATTAACAAAAAAATTAGTCTATAATATACATTAAGATGGTTTATTTAAGAGAAATAACGAAATGTAAATGGACTGTAAAAATCAGTCTAAAGAGAGCATAATACTTGCTTCTTATAGCTTAATTATCGTCAAATACCGATAAATACGTATAATATAACATGTTCGTAGATCCGCCGAATACTTTTTAACACATAAACTTGATGCAATTAGCAGCAGCACGATCTATATGTAACTAGTGAAAAAATCGAACGTAAATGCTACAGTTAATGTTGCACTGAACAGCATAACATTACATTGGGTATTTTTTGTTAACATTCGTTATCTATGTACTATTCACTTAATATTGTGTTACATGTATTATTGGTTCTTCATCCGTTTACTTAAGCACTGCAATCCTGTAAAACAGAGTGTACTTTATTTATGTAAATATTACACGTAAAAATTCAAATAGAATAAAAATTAAAAATATACTTGAATTAATTTCAGTTTACTTTACTTGTCACGGTATCTTTCGTAAAATAAATATCTGTCTTTACTGGTTTATTTATTGAAGTTGTTTTTGTTACCTAATTAATATCGAAGAGGATTACTTTATGTTGTACTTGGCTGAGTGGTAGTTTTACATTGTGCTTCACTTGCTCGAAGCTTTTCAAGCCTGTGCAAGGGATCCATTAGGCTCTTTTCGTCGTGTCCAGCAGAATCAGCTGTGTCTATAAGATATAAATAGTGATAAATGTAATGATATTAAATAAAAGACTAAATTTATTTTAATATCTCACAAAAATTATTTACCGGTTGAGTATTGGTTATTAGTCTGTGATATAAGATTTTGATTTTTTCGTGCTTGATCTATATCTCTTAATCCTTGTTCTATGAAGTCTTGGAAGAATTGATGAGACCTTAATAAGAAAGGTTGTACATCGGCTTCAGGATATTGAAGTTTAAAATCATACAACTGCATTAAACCCTATTAAAATAGAAGGCATGAAAGTATTGCATAAATATTAATGGCGTAACAATGTATAAAATATATTATATTACATACTTCTTGCGTGTGCTCTTTAGATCCAATCTTTTTAAATATTTCAGATAATTGCTGATGAGTGAGCTTTGATAAATGTTCTTGGGTCTTACCGCTATTACTTGATTTCATCATAGTTCTTGGGTTATTAACTTCATCAGGCTTAAAAGTCTATTAAATGTTATAATGCATTAGAATGTAGCTATTTTAGCCGGATAATAATTATTGTATAAATATTTAATTATACTAACAGCTATAAGTCTTATAAGGTAAGTATGCAATTCCGATTCATTAGTGTTATTTATTCGAGTCAGGTGACTCAGAATTGTACTGCCCTTCATGCGTGTCATACTGTGAAGAATTGTCTTAATTGTCCGTAATGGGGTGTCAGATTTTCGTTTTTTCCACCATAAAGTTGGATAATCCTGCAAAACATGAACTCGTAATTATTGGACTTTCTCAAACGAATGTTTATATTTTGGGCAAACAAGAGAAAAGGGCATACTTTCAAAAACCGGTGAACTTCCAAGAGAATGGTATCATAATTTAAATCTCCAGCCCAGTTAGGAATGGTTTTCACTATCTTCCATAAACACTTCATAACCAATTCCTCGTATTTGGAAGGTTCATTGGATTCAGCACATCCATGGAGTAACTTTATCAAAGCACTAAATAAATAAAATATTGTAGAAATAAAATATTCAAGAAATATTGGATTTTTCGAATTTAATTACCATTATTAAATATTCATTCACAGCTTTTGGTATTAACAGTTTTTTGGCCAGGTTTCTCAACTGAGAACTGTATCCAATTATCGGATCATTTAATGAAACTAATTCTTTTAAATTATTGAAGCACGTGAATATCTAACTTTTTAAATATTTATTCTATTGAATTTTGTATTTCTGAAAATTATATGTGTCTATAAATAATAACTAATAAATTTAAATCGCCAATTTGAATCCCTGGTCAATAAAATGTTAATAAAAATATTGATGTTAGGATTACCATATAATTGTGGTATGATTAGAATTGTCGATTATTTTGCAAACAATATTGTTAATCACACGATAATATGCATCAGCTTGGTGTAAGTGATGTAATTTATGTTCAGCTAACAAACTGATCATTTGATCCACAAGTTCCTTTAAGTGGATCAATGGAACATTTTTTCCAAGAACCCCGCTATCATAAAACTATAATATACAAATAAAACAATTAAAATATTATTATATTATGTCATGTATGTTCATATAAATCTCTCAAAACCCTAATAAAAAGCTGTTTAATCATTAATATCTATATAAATTTCCATATTTTAGTTTTCTTAATTTTTTTCATAGACTTCCAAATGAATTACAAGAATGTATTTATAGAATGATCTTCATTCGTTTAGGCGCTGAGAGATTAAAAATATATATATATTTATTTATTTTTACCGCTAATATAACCATAAATGTGCTTCTAAAGCCTTTGGATATATCAGTCCCTCCTTGTTGCAAAGGATACGTTTGCAAAAGCTTCAATTGCATGTTTATCGAACCAATAAATTTATCCTCTTTAGATTGTAAGTTCAGAACTTGATGAGATTTTATCAGCTACAAAAATTAATATAAAATAAGTATATACACAACAAATAAGATAAACAATAAGATGCTTGGTAGAGATACAAACATTATCAATACTGTTCATTGACTGTATCGCAACAGCTAAGTCTAAGCTAGCCATTGCAAGAATTTTGCGTTCAAGGCTATCTTCTTTACTTGCGTTAGCTGTATTCAATTGCTGTGTTGCCATCGACGATTTAGATACCAACAATTTCGGTGGAGAAATTGGTATCATCCTAAAATGTATTAAAATTATTTTTATTAAAATTATCATTTGCTACTAAACATGTATACTTTTTACATCTAAATAGATGGATTGCTTTACAGTTAAATAGGCAGTAAATAAGTACTTACGGTACTTTTGGTAGATTCATAGTATTTGGAGATTCGAGTAAAGCTTCAAGCTCATTTAAATTCACCTCTACAAGAACCGGATTGCTGAATTTCACAGGTGCCTCGGATTCAATCTTTTGCAGATAGTCCATATCAAGTCCAAATGGACCCGTTATTTTTTTCTGCGACGATGCTGAATTGTTCCTGAATAATTAAATGAAATTTAAATTACTTCCTGACAAAAAAGTTCTGTGAAAAAGATATGTTACAAATTCTTTCTGTTACAAAACATTCAAGCTACAAAACATTAATCTTTTTAAAAGGTGGAAGGAAATATGTAATATGACACAATGTTATAAATGTCAGTATGTTTACAATACCACAACAAGTCATTAAAAAGACAAATAGAATGAAGATTTATTTTCCTTCATCAAAATGATATCAGTTTACTCTAATTGGAAAAAGCATTTTTTAAATCATAAATTACCTTACTAAGTGCAATGTGAATTAAAAAATTCAGAAGATAAAAACATTATGCAACATTTTTATGAAAACTGAGTTATTCTAGTAAATCAAAAGTAATATGAGATATTTTTTCATAATTTCTAATTTCACTTTGTCCTGTAACAGTACAAATACAAAAATACTTTTTGAACTCTTTAATTATTGAAACTATATATATGTATATGTACACACATACGTACACACATGTATACAGGTAAGATGATCTGAATAAAATATGATTACACACTTGGACTGTACAATTTAAGAATAAATCTTGTATCTACATAACATACTAATGGTTTCATTTTTAAATCGTATCTAGATCACACTAATTATTTTGGTTAACCGAATTAAAAACTACATTTATATCACAATCGGTATACATGCTTAACTATATAAAGTACTCCAAATTTACAATTCTCAAAAATGAAAAGTAACTTACGCATGTTAATTTTTCTAATTTTTTTTCAATGAATAATAACAGTCAATTTGGATACTTCATACTTTTAAAACAAAATTCCAAACAAGTAAAATCACGACTTGTAGCCTACCTAACTTCACAGACTGTATTATATTTCAAATTCATTAAACTCTCTTAATATAAAAAATAATCCATTTAATGTAAAATTACCCACGTGTTTTATACACTCGGCCCTCAATTTACGCGGTAAATTAGAACACTATTTACACGGTAGTTTTCACGTGCGATTTTGTTTTCTGAAATGTCATTATTTTGTTTGTTCGCCTACGTGAAATAAATTTATATTTCTAAACCTTATACCATCTTCTCTTTCCAATATTTTGTACTCTCTAACAACAGACTCTATTTACGCGATTTTCATTCACGTAAATCGAGAGTCAGGTGTACAAATTTTTGTATATTGTCATATGCTCAATTCACGTTTAACTAGCCTCGATATTCCATGTCTGTGTTATACAACCTTAATGTATTTGTATCCTGCAGTTAATCGCAACTGCACCTATTAACACCAACACAAATACTCCACTCCTGGATATGTAAATTGTTAGCATTCGTTAGCCACACACACTTTAGATTTGCTACCTTCTGACAGACACGTTACTTGGTTTATTTATATTATTTATGTTTCATTAACCCTTAGAGTGCTGTGGGCGCACATATGCGTTCAGCTAAAGCCATCGGTGTGGACTGTGGACGCATATATGCGGCATCCTACACGGAGATAAACCCAGAAGAATTGGAGGAAAGTGTAGAATGAATTTTGTGGCTTATTTTGAAAATTTGTTCTGATGAGATAAAGTATTCAGTGTGGTCCACACTGTTGGATTCTAACTTGTTACGTTGGAAATATTTAGCACTCTAAGAGTTAAGAATATGCAGTACAGTGGCATTTGAGAGAAGCAAAAGAATAGAAAAAATAAATGAATAGATACGGCAATTATACGTATACCCGCCACCATAGCGTGAACACACTGCAAACGAATACATAAGAAGCACGAACATTTTAATGTTATCTTCTCGATTACTTCGAGGCGAGGTGATGATAACTTTTACTGGCGATGTTTTCGAAGATTGTTCATTAATCATAGGACACGTCTGTATTTCGTCGGATGTGCTGTCTGGCGTTACTGCTTCTGTCTCTGTTACATGTTCCCTGAAGAAGCATTAAAAAGCAAAGTCGTGCCAACATAAATTAAATTGAAAAAAAATCGTCGCAAAGAAGTAAAAATATTATAAATTTTTGTTTTCTTAATCATAATACTGGAGAACATTTAGCATTATATGAATGAATGCATTAATCTACAAAATATGATTTTATATATATATATATATGTATTTTGCGTGCAACTAAAATTCGATTGTGTGTAGCAATAATATGTTATACATACAATTCAGTTTGTAGTGGTAGAGGTGGTGGTGGTGGTGAAACAGGTTCTGTTTCAGATTCCACTTCTTCATTTTCTTCTTCGTATTCGGTTTTAACGTCTTCATTGGAAGCAATAGGAGTTGTGGTTGTGGGGGGTGCAAGTTTGTTTGCTGAAGCTGATTTCGTTGGACGATTTTTAGCAGCCCTTTTGATACGTTCGTCTAGTAATGACTGATCTTTCTCGGATATCTACAAGTAAAATATTTAGAGAAATAGTAATATGCTTTACTAAGGATATTTTCTACAAAAAAAAATATATATATATGTATATAAATTATATATATATTTTAAATATATATATAGGATTTCCTAGGAAATATATAATAGGATTTCCAAAAATATTACTGTTGATAAATCTTAAAAAGTATTATTCCAAGTAATACCTTCAATTGCTATATTTAGAATAAGATGTGTTCTTCACTGGAAACATTACCTGGCCAATAAGTTTATATACTCGTTCTCCTTGAAGGAAATATGCCTGAACGATACAATTCAAAGCAGCATTCCGAACAGAATTATCACGATCTGCTATCTGTTTCGCTATTTCTTTCAACGCCACATTTGGAGATGGTTGACAAACGGATAAACCATAATTTTCTATAAGGGAACTTAATTGATCCAAGCATTCTAAAAAAATAAAATTATTTAATTAAACCCTGATTACACGTATTCACATTACATATTTATATACGACGTTACCTGTTCTTTGACGAGCATTTTTAGATTTTAAACCTTCCATTATATATGAAAATAGTTTGCTTACTGGATACACCAACGCGATTTGTTTAAATAATGCACGAACTCCATTACGTACCGCATCTTTTGGATCTCCAATCTAGAGGAAATGTTCACATTAGGTACATAAATATCTGGTAAAAGATACACGCATTAATTAAGAAAGACATATAGAAAACTGTACTTTAATAATGAGATATGGAATAAACGATGCCGCTTCGTTTTCCAACATATGATACTGATCCTCTATTAATAGATTAAACACCATTCGCAAATATTCTAGACCTTTCAATAATACTGAAGGATTTGTGTCAAAGAACCTTAGCGTTAACCACTTGAGAATAAGATCTAAATTTGACACCAATGCTTTGCTGTTGTTAGGTAAATCCTAGAATTCGTAAAAAGAAATGTCACATTAGGTAAATACAAAATTAATGTCCATTGAGAAAGATCATTAAATGTGATGATACCTCGATTGTTCGCGATTACAAAACGGTCAAACATAAAACAACACGCACACAACTTTGATGGATCCTTGAATTTTAACATGTACATTCTATATTCACTCAAACGTTATGAACAAAAATAATCTGTTCATAAAAGTATGCTCTCTAAGACAGTTTAAGTTCAATTTAAAACATTTTCCAAACAATCGATAAAAATTCAAACAGTACATCCTATGTGTAAATAATTTGAACATGTACCTCGGTTAACGCTTCAATAGCTTTGAGATGGTACCGAAAATCTGCGTGAAACATGTTTTCCAATAAAGTTTTGTTTACACTCGCTGTAGTCATGAGTTCTTTCAAAAGTTCAACAAACTCTTCCCGCGGTGTCGTGAAGTTCCATTTCAAAACTTTCAACTTCTGTTCGTCGATCACTCGTTGATGTTTGAGGTTATTCGTAACCAACAAAGGACTGGTGTCTGTGTCGTCGTCCTTTTTGCGCGCACTGCCAGGTTTCGATCCAGCTTGATTCTGTTTAGGTTTCACAACCGTCTTCGCTGCCTTCACAGCTCCTGCACTCTTAACGACCTTCCGGTTGCTTTCCTCTACTGGCTGTTTCTTAGGCAACGGTTTCATAGGTAAATTTGGTCGAGACTTATCTAGCGCAGCAAGCACTACCGTCCTAGATCCAGGCTTCAGTTTTTCTGTATTTCTAGCCATCACTTCGTAGGAAAGGTGAATCATGTAACCCAAGACTGCTTCTTGTGCGTTCTTCCGGACGTCGGAATTACGATCCTCTAAATTATTATACAAGTATGGAAGACATACGAGAAGTTCTTCTTTCGGTACCTGCTTGACAGGAATCAACGGCAATTTTTGTGCTAACCAATTCCATAGCTCGGCCCTGAGTACCGGTGACCCAGACTTTAATGCATCACCTATCATTTCTCCATCGAAGAATTCCTTGTAACCACACTGATCCCCCCATGTGTCTATGCATGATATTGCTGCTGTTCTGATCCAGTTTTTACTGTCGCCCAAACATTGTATAAAACCAGGAAATAGAACTCGAATATGTTGCTTCGCTGGTGGACCCATGGCCACGGCCAATGACTGACATATGCCTAAGGTTGACTGGGCTATTTTACTGTTACTGTCAACCAAACGCAAAGCTAATCCTTGAGGCAAATCACCAATAGAGCCTTTAATGAATTTCGCTTCTGAAATGATGGTACTCACTTTCTGCAAACCTTCGTTTCGTACCTAATGTTGAAAAAAACAATTGTAAATTAAAAGGAGACTGGATAGTTTATGATAAATAAACAACGACTTACTTTCCAATTTTTGTCGGATAATTCATTTAGCAGGCTCTCTGTGATTTGATTACTAACGTCAACTCGTGGAATGAGATTATTAATGTCAAGTTCGCTATTACTATTAGATTTCTTACACACTTCCGTTTCTTCGTCATCGTCGTCACTTGTTTTGGATTTTTTGCTTTTCACTCCGCGAATTGGTATTGGAGGAGCTTTGCCGTTGTGCTAAAATTTAATAGTTTATCAGTTATTATAGCTACTATTCATTACATCACTGTTTGCATTAAAGAAAATTGATATAAAAATGCAGCTGAAACTGGCAATAAGAATATTACCTTTTCACATTCTTGTTCAATTTGTTGACGTAGAGCAGGTTTTTCGTTCTCAAAAAACATAAGTAGTGGTTTACCCATGAACATGTATAATGTACCTAACAATGTAATAGCTGAAGTACGAACGCCAGGATTTGTTGCTGCAACTGCTTTTTTGATGTTGTCCATTAATGATTTAACACTGATACTAAAACATATATATAGTAGAACCATGATAGTATTTGTTTGTTCAAGATGCATTCCTTGAATAAGTTAAATACCTACACACAACCAAATTCTGTAAGACCCCTACATATTAATGATAATGTCTCTTGTTGGACTTTCGGATTCTTCTGATTGAAAGCGAATGCTACTATTTCATCCGCAACATATTCGAAACTTGTTGCTTCTGCTATTGCTAGAAGAGTCTCGCCTGCGATCGTACTATTTTTTGCGTCTCCCAATTTCTCTGTTATGTCCATGAGACAATATTCGCAAACAGTACTGTAAGAAAAAGAATTAAATAAATAGCATGATTATCACTTTACTCGATAATACAATTTAATGTATAATATTATGATAATAAAATTCGATAACATATATATATATATATAGAATATGAATCTTACTTTGAAAATGGAAAATTTTCTGCCAAATACTTCACAATTTCCAATCGCAATTTCAATACTTGGAAATTTGTGTCTTTAAAACCTGGCTTTTTTGCTAAAGTTCGTACAATAACTTGTGTGGGTACTTCTGACGAGTTCATTTGTTTTACGAACTAAGAAACATATAATTATATAATATTGTAATTTATTCATTTTCGTAAGTCCAATTTTAAAAGAAATCTCAGTTACCTCTAAAAGTTGTTCAACTGCAGATAATCGGGTCTTCCAATTAGTGTCAACAAGACCCGAAAGAATGTCTGCTGGTAAATACTGAGTAGCCATTTCATCTATTTCTTCAGCGCTATAATTTTTCTCTGTTTGTGCTTTTACTGTAGACGACTTCTTCGAAGCAGCTAAAATGAAACAGAAACAAAGCGTTATTCTGTGTAATCATTGAGAATTTTCTGCTACTGATCTTAGATATTTAACTACCTAAGTTTGTCATAGACGAACCAGATGGTTTTTTAGCCAGAGGTTTTTTGGTTGTACCAGTATTTGGTCTTTTTTGAGGTTTGGAATCTGGTTCTTTAGTTTTTGCTGCTGATTCAATTTTGCTGGGTGCTGTATTTGGTCTTTCTACACCCATTTTCGGTGCACTCTGAACTTTAATATGTATTACAGCTTTGTCTGCGCATTCTTTTATCTAACAGATGTAAATAAGCGTATATTAATAAATTCTACACAGAAAGAACAACTGTAATTTAGAAAGTACCTTTGACATTTTCAAATTATCAATGTCTGTAATAAATGGTGTCATAGCTTTCTCGCCAATTAGTTTCATCGCAGTGCCAAGAGCCTCTGCAGAAGCATCTCGAACTGATGGATCTAAAATATATTTGTTTAGCATTATATTATTTAACTCCAAGTAAGTACCCAAAAAAAACTCGATTTCAAGATGTACCTGATTCATTTAATGTTTTTAGAAGTGCACCAGTATATGCTTTCAATAACTTCTTATTTAAGCTTTGCGGTGGTGTACGAGCAAAGCACCTCGATAAATAAGCAGCTGTTTCTGTTTTAACTGCGGGATTTTTATTTTCCAATGCTGCAAGTGTGTCTTCCAGTAAAACATCGATAGTAATCTAATTGAAACGATAAGCAGTAACTTTATTATACACAGAATACAATACTTGATAAATATAAAGACAATATTTCATAGGATGAATTTAAAATAATAATATTTCTTATACTTACGCTAAGAAAGATAGCATCAGCAGCATCTCTGAGTGCTTGCACAACATTTTGCTTCTTCTCACGAAACTTTTCCAAAATCGACGAAAGACAAGCTGTTGCATAAGGTTGGAATCGCTTTTTAAGACCTATAGCTAGCCCGGCTAGACACTTTCCAGCTAATGCAACAACTAATACATTAGTGTCTTTAGATATAACCTGTACATAATATTTTAAAGAGTAAATAACATAATAACAAATCATGTATGATTCAAGCAATGTTTACCTTTTTCAGAGCCCTTACTACGTCTCCATAATCACCATTCTCTAACTTTGGATTTTTTACAAGAGTCTCTAAAACTTCTAAAGCTTCTTTTCTCTCTTGCCATTTTTTAGCTTCAAGTTTATCATAAAAATCTTTGGGAAGTTTAGAAAGAATATCAACCGGCTCTAGTAATTCATACGGATCGATTTCTGGTACAGAAACTCCATCGCCATCATCTTTACCATCTTACATAGAAAGTGTTTTGTATTAGACACAAAAATGCAAATGTAATGTAGATTAATTTTATGGTTATTTACCTTCAATGACATCAACTGTTGAACTTGCTGCACATATTTGCTTTGGTTTCTGAGATTTCAGAAAACGGATTGGTACAACTCTTTCCTCTTTAAGATTATTAAACTCTGCTTCTAACTCGGTAATTTGTACTGGTTTTAATGTATTTAACTGTTGTTTCAATGGAACACCTACCCACCTGTATATGTATAAAAAGAACAATGGTATTATAGAAATATTCATATTCTTTTAAGGTAATTTCAGAATGTTGTGCAAATACCTATAAATCTCAATGACCATGAATTTGCCTTCATCTCTAACCATTTTATCTCTGTCTTCTAGAAAACCAGGAATTTTTTTGATCAGAGGCTTTATGTTAATTACTTTTGCACCAAATTGTCTGTACCATTTAAAAAAATTAATTAATAAACACTTATATAATACAAATATAACAATATCTTTTGCTTTATTTGATTTGAAAAGCATCAACAACATTTAATTACCTTAAAGCCAATGTTAAAGTATTAATACATGCAGCAACAATTTTTGGATTTTTCGCTTCAGTCCCTTTTAGTAATTCTTCCTGAACAGCTTCATGCTTCTCAATTTCTATGTACATTAATGTTATTTGTACTGCCAACTCTTTTGTTTTAGCTTTTGGCGCTGCAATACATTTAGTAACTATTCCATTCATAACTTCACCAACAGTCCTATAAAATTACAAAAAAATCCATATCATATAGAATTTTAGAATCAGTGTATACAGTAATAATGTATACAAATCATTTATATAAATAACAACAGAAAAGTAACACTAAATAATATACAAATAAATATGTGTATTAATTTTGATACATGAAACTTACTTTCCTGCAACTGCAGCATTCTCTATAAAAGCTAATGCTGCTTCCAGTCCTTTTTCTTGCGCCGCAGCATTACTATCTACTACAAACTTTTTTATAAATCCTAGGAACTTGTTCCACTCAGGCGATTTTTCATCGTCAATACATTGAAATGTATTTACGCATTCTTTATAACCATGCAAACGTGCTCTCCATAACTGTATAATATTAATTCAAGAAATTATTAATAATTCCACAATAATTATTAAAAGTATACACTTTGATAAATTAGAAATAAAAGTACAACACGTATTACCTTATGCACACATCGTTCCTCTAACGGCAGCTTAACATACTCTGTATCTTGTTCCATATTCTAAAACCTGAGAGAACAACTATTTTACATGACAACTGCTTAATATTAATGATTATTCGATATTATTTCAATTATGGAAGTAAAACAACATAAATATAAAGTATGCATCATAAATATAGGTGTAGTACATAGAATAACTAACAGACAACGTTTTCGTATGTTTGTCAATAATAATTATTCCCGAGAGACGCGTTTCAAATAAATAAAAGAGGCACAGTTATAAGTGTCACGAGCTAAAACTTGACGTTGTTTCCAAACCTTATAAGGCAGTAACTAAAAACCTAGATTTCATTATTGCATTCGGTAAATAATTATACTTGAATGACACAAATAACTTTCTTCGTGGACACGTTCAAATTATAATAGACAAATATTGCATACTCTAAAATAATTTATTGTGTGTCGATATGTTTGAATATCAGTGATTCATGTATTTCGTAAGTATCGAAAGCAATAGCAATGTGTTGTTGCAGATACTTCTTGCTAGGTCGAACGTGGAGAGACAACGATGACTCGTGACAGGAGGAAGTCTCGAGTACTGGTTCGAAGGATTTATAATTAAAAACTCGAACTTACCTCACAAAATGAAGATATATGAGAATAATTTTCGACAGGACAGTCAACGTTCGTAAAAAATCGTTGACTCAATACATTAGAACCGTTTAAGTAGCCCAGACTAAGGCCCACTGTGACCTTTCGGCAACCGTTGAGCCTTTACATTTAATTTTCAAATAGTCTGCGAAGTCTTCCTTACAACCGTCAAGACTAAACGTAAACGAAAAGACAAACAAAACAATCTTTCGAAACTACATATGAATTTTGCGAACCCGGTCAATGTTGCAGTTCACCAGTTTCGACGGTAGATGGTACTAAGAGCGAATTTCTTTTGTTCGCCAGCTTATTTCGCACTCTTACCGTTATTTTCAAATATTTGAAAGACGTGTACGATTTTGGCAATTTACCTCAGCTTTTACGAAATTAATTTAACGTACTAGAGATATCATCGCCAATTAGTTTTGACTTGCATATTTTCATCGTGTAATAATTGCTATAAAAATATCAGAAACAAATTGAAATAAAGTATTGTAAAAATCAATGGATGTCATTTCTTGAAACATTAACGCGTATACTTTTAAAGTTTTTTGTATTGTTAATTTATGGGTAACTTATTAATGATACATTAATTATAAGAAACTTTTAATTGGTTTTATGCAGGATATAATACACATATATCTATTTTATATACACTATAAAAAATTAAAATGATATATTTACGTATATGTCTTTTTCAAATGAAAATAGATGTATTAAAAACAAGAGTAAATCAATGTACTATAATTAATATTAATTTTATTTGCAAATGTAACTTTAAAAGTAATATAATATTCAGTCCCCATAAAATATAGATGTTTATTTGTACAGATCATACATGAATTATAAAGTAAAGTAATTATTTAGAAGATTGACTTGAAATAAAAATAATTGGGATTGTAATAACTGTATGAACTAAAAAATGTTCAAAGTGAACATGTGTGTGAATAGTATAAGAAAATGAATGCGTTGTAATTAAATGATAATTGGAGATGTTAATTTAATGTTTGATAAGTAAGAAAAGTATACATTCGATTATTAACTAAATGCAACAATAAATTTTGTTTATATGTTTTGTTTGCTAGTTTATTACAATGGGATTATAAAACAAGCGAATATTGCCCGTTACATGTACGAATGTGTTATGCACGTTAAATCATGAATTGTGGCTACAAGACATTGAATTGTCTAGTTGATAATATACAAACAAAAAAATTTGTATTATAACAATTATCGATTTATTGTTAGAAATACTACGTCAAGGGTACATTTACAATCTACGGTAATGCTTATAAAATAATAGAAAATCGTTCGAACCTATGCAATACATATAAAAAAGTACAGTAATGTCCTTTTCCGCTGAAGCATATAATGTGTATAACATGAAGTAAGTTAACACATTATTATTCCAGTTTTGGATTAATTGCTAATTCTCGTGTGGTTAGCGTCAGCATAAATTTGTAAGATACGTATGTTGTTATCATCATTCATATTACAAGAAAGCAGCAATGTGAAAAAAGATAGTTCATGTCATAAACAAATGGCCAATAGTATATACTTACTTTTATACAAATATAAGTGTTAGTACTCTAAAGTCTAGTACTGCTTTCAGAATCAAACATTTTGGACATGTAAATGTTTAGAAACAGGTTTGGAGCAGTACCAGAAACATATTCACAAATTTTTTGAAAAGTTTATTTATCCTAAGTGATATACAAAACAACCATCTCTTTTATAACTGTTATAATTCCCCTATAATAATACAGAAAATTCTGTCGTAATTTTCAATATCTTTTTATTAATTATCTCCATCAATTGGATACCTTCGTATCAGTACAATTCATTTTAACCAGCTATGTTAAAATTATGCACATCTGCAAATCAGTATTAAAATATTACAATTTCATATTTTACAGTATTCGTCCTCTAGCTCCCTCTAAAACAGGTTTTTATTTTTTGCTTATATAATCACACAATTATCCATTATATGACAATGTGCAGGGGAGATGAAAAGCTTTATGTCAAAAAGTAGTGGTTACCTGCTGAGCCAAATCAAGGTGCAAGTCAGTCTGACTGTAACAAAGCCTCTTGTATATTCGATTTGCATACCAATTATTGGCCACGAAATTCACACGTCTGCATTACCTAGCCGGTTTTGTTTTGGTATGCTTCTTACACGGTTGGCTCTAATCTCAATGATTAAGATCTGTACATACTAAGATCTAGGAATGTTAATATTACAAGAAACCACAATAATTTATTATAATACAGCCTGCTGTACACCAGATGACTCGAGGCAGTACAAGACACGCCCTATCTTACTTTCTTAAACAATGAACGGAATCACATGATTCTGAAAGGATTTAAACGTATTTCCTTTATTGGAAAAATGAATGTGAGAGGGAGGATATGACGATGGTAAGGGCAGGGACTACTTCAATTAGATAAAACTCAAAAGAAAATACAATTCTAGTTTGGTACGTCTTTGAAGACTGTCAATTCAAGCCAATAAGAACAAAAATTTATATCATTTTTATATATACTATTCTAAAAAAGATTGAGATTATAACAATTATTAAGACAACATAAATATAAATTCATGATCAGCTTATAAAATGTATCGGATTAATTTATCCGACCATCGAAAATCGTAAGAACAAAAAAATTGATTTTATATGTAATATAATAGGACTTTTGCAATATACCACTGCTCCATGGCTGGGTTGTTGTCCTAATTTTCTTTTTGATTTCGAAAAGTTGTCAATCAGAGATACTTGTTTCGATTCCAATTACTTATAAGCTATATAAGGCTCAATCTCCTGGTTTAGAATACATTGTTAGTGAAAACTATCACATGTTGACGCAGATGTAGAATCGAAATTGCATTTAAAATATACTTATCCTAATACTTACAACTATACGACACGTACTTAAATCAATTACATTCATACAAAGCAGCCCCATGCCCCACCTGCGACAGATTTGATTTAAAGAAATGTTCTGTACAAGGATATACAATAAGTCTTCTTACACTGACAACTGACAACGAATGAACTGAACTGATAAATATCAAACTATATCGAGTGATACCGCCCAACTATGGAGCCGCCGTATCCTGTATTACGATTTGCAACTACGTTAGCTTTTAACATAGTCTGGAGACAATGTCAACAATGATTGAGCCCCTGCGCCTTCCACCTGATACAAAGTGGGCACCATATTTCTTTTCATTCTGCTATCCTACGCCATTTTACATGTTACTATCAATATGTTAAAATACAAATATCACTCATACGATCTTCTCTCGCGCCTCGCATACATACAATTTTAAAATAATTATTATAATCGCGGGTATTTTAATTATTATTGTAAATAATCGGGGACTGGTGATTAGTTATTCGATTCCCTAGTGGTGTAAGTACGCTCACGCTAAGGTCAATGGTACGTACAGTAGGTGAGGTATGCTTTCAGGATCAAGGACACGGGGTGATAGATGAAATTTCGTCGTGTATCCGCTATTCATCGTCTTCTTTATACTCTTCTTCACTGTCGCTTTTTACAGTATTCACTGGATTTGCTACAACGGGTGCACCATCCTTCATTTTCTTTTTGTACGCAGTCATTTCCTGAGTAATAAGGAAACAAATATAGTTTGTACAAAGTTTGTAAAAGAAATCAGAAATTAAATGTTTCAGTACATTTATACATCAAAGAAAACATATTTATATCACGACTTTTTCAAACTAATAGACAATTTTGATAAAACTTTCAGTCTATTGATTTCACTCTCTTAGAAATAGCATTTTGGGGATCTACCAGTTCATTTAATACAATTCAATGTAATTAACATTTGAACATGATACTTTTGTGTTGTTGCATATCAATGTAACTGAAAAACAGAATACATACCTTTTCATATCGAGCTTTGTCTTTCTCTGCCATAGCCTCATACTTCGATTTGGTTTCAGGATCTGCATCGGACCATTTTTTGCCTAATTCCTTAGCAATATCGCCTACACCAAATTCGGGATTCAACATCTTCACTTTTCCACGCTCATCATTACAGAACCAGAAGAAGGCCGATCTGAAACACGCAGTATAACATCAATTTTCCAATATATCTACTCAATGTATTAATTCCTCTATACGTGCCCTTAATTTTGAAAATAGTCCAAGCCACTTCAAGCATCAAAAATCATGTTTTCTTACAAGTTACACAACGTTATACAGTCATGATAAATTTTTATTTTCAAGACTGAATATTCTCTGAAATATTTGTTTACATAGTATACAAATATCTGTTAATCTATGTAAATATAAAACTAACTTTCAAAACTAATGGCACATACGTAAGTACACAAGTGTAATAGACTCAAACGATGGTCAACTTTCCATTTTAAGCGTACTATATTCTATTATACCGTTACTAATATTTCATGTTTGATCGTATACTTACAATGACCTCTTGGGAGCATTGTGATCTTTGATGTGTTTGCGTTTTTTGCCTCTGCCTTTACTTTCGCCTTTAGGTGGTGTGTAATTCTGCATTTCCGCATCATATCTCTTCTTGTCTTTTTCTGCCATTTCATGGAAACGCTTTTTCTCTTTATCCGACATAGTCTAAAATCACAGGCACACACACGTACAAAAATTATTAGCTTCATAATAAATAATATTCACTAATCATTCCTAATGATTATTAACAAACAATTAATCGTACTTTCTATTTTTCAGTGTTCACATTATATAAAATATTATATTCATCAATAATGTATATTACATAAGCACACACATGCACTATTCTATTGTATGTTTTCACATAATATATCCTTTTATCATTTAACCTTTGTATTTTTAAGTAAACAATATTACGTAATCCTTGTCTTGTGTCATAAGTATCAATAGAATACAAGTGTATTTTTACCATCTCTATTATGCCATGATTGCTTATAAAATTGATTATCGTTGGATATTGGAAACTGGAGGCGTGGTAGTGGATTTATAATAAACAAAAGCGGGGTTGGTTTTCATGGAATAAGTCGAGGAGATCAGGAGACGAAAACGAATTGAAAACGAATTGAAAACGAATTGAAAACGAATCTGAAAATGCATGGAAGTTCATCAGTATTTTACAAAAACACAAAACTATTTTGATAGAAAATTAGCTGTTCCTCAATTTTCTTCAAAACGTTTTTAAAACAACACAGGTCATTTTCAGATAGCCTATACATATTATTATTACTAGACTATAGATTGTATGCATATG